ACCTTGTCCTTCCATGACTGCTTGGCTTATCACGCAATGAAAGAAGTGAAATGCATTTTGTCCTGATCGAGATCTTCGAGTGGTCTGAAAGTTAAAACGTTAGCGTCTGCAGAGCAAAGATCTTCTAGCACAAATAGTGTATTCCTTCCTCGCCAGACAAGAACTCGCATCGTTCGTTCCAAAACCTTACACAGACGTCCTCACGCGCCTTGATCCCTGGAAAGGAAGGCACAATGGACCCTAGGTACGCAAGTGCGGACCTTGGCTCTAGTAGGACAAGGGTAAGGTAGGTGTAGTACCGAGAACGCCAATATTTCCCTGGGCCGCCAAAACCTTTGTCTGGACATCGTCACTTCTGAGCAGGGGTCTTGGTCTAGGCCATCAAACTAACCTATCTAACCTTCTCTGGCAAGTATTCAGGTAGACATTGGTTTGTGAGCGCTTCTGATGGAATGCGTTTCGCCTTCATGTGATGCCTTTTGTCTCATGCATACCCCAACGCTCTTCCCCCCTCTTCACCAACGCCTTCACAATCGAGTGATCTCAACCTCTTTGGCTGTGATCCAGAAGAGGAAGTTGCGATTGAAGAGCAATGAGGTCGAAGAATGTGCGGCTGAAGTGTCTGTGGTTGCGGAGTGCCCTCCGTCTATGGAAGCTTTAACCTCCCCACAGCTCCAAAAGCTTCAGTCACTAATGCCTCCGAGTTTGCAGAGCAATCCTGAACACATTCCCCCGTCATCTTCCACTGCACTTCGATCATTGCTCGCAGCTTCCTCCCCGTCGTGCTCACGATAATCCCCACAAAGACCTCGATCCGGGCAATGGGTGACAATTATCTCGCCTCCTTTATTACCACCACCACCCTTGTGTGTTCGAGAACCATGTTCAGAACCGCCCTCCCAGCCGCCACCCCACCATGTCTGACCCAATATCTTTCCCTTCCTCGCCGTCTGGGCGCCCATCACCGTGAGCCAAGATGCAGCGCCCAGACGGGCCAATTGCTGCATGAGTTTGACAAGCATGGGATGCCCCCTCCGAAGTTCCAACAGCTACCTGCCGTAGCTCATGTTATCTTCCTCATCCAGAAATATCTTGTTCAACCATTCTCTTGGCCCGCCCGTCTGGGAAGGTCATTACCACTGGGCACTCACACCCTTTTTTGGTAGAGGGGCGAGAGGCAAGGCCAAGATAAGCCAGACGGGAGTGTTGCAGCATGCAGGAGTACAGCTTCATGTGGGTGCTGTAAGGTTGAGGCATGTGGCGTGCTTCCCCGAGTGGTCTGTGATACCACGTATAGAAAGGGAAGATATCAACCTCTTTTCCCCCTCGTCTTTGTCATGCAGCCATCCTTCACGTCTTGAGGACCTGCTCCTGTTCGTCCATTCCTACCACATATCAGCAGCACAGCAGCCTCATCGGCGTGTTGACAGCACGCCATGGCGACCACCAGAGATGAGAAGGCAGTGAACATCACTCCTGCCGGGAGTGATCAACCTCCTGCTCTGTCGGAAAAGTACGATGAGAAGGTCGGCGGCGTCCATGAGATCGGCCTCGACCGTATTGACTCGGAGGAAGCACAGGTCATTGAAGGGTAAGCCGGGTTCCCTCATCTCCTATGGAACCCATAGCAGAGACTGACTGACTGTACAGGCACCTCGATGTTACCGAAGAAGACCTCCTCCAAGCGAAGGCTGTTGCTGAGTCCCTCAGTCTCAAAGACGTCGTCAAGTTGATGAAACATGTCGTCGGCATGCATGGACGTGATCCTAACTTCCCTCACGTTGTTCTTGAGAAGATCCAGGAATTCCTAGGTGAGTGTCACCTTGTTTAGCCCATAGCCAAACCATTTGCTGCGCTGGATGGGTCTGACACGTCTACAATACAGCCAACGAAGAAAACATCCTCGCGAACCCGGAGAAGCACCATGATATCATCACCGAGATGAAGATTGAAGCTGCTCTCATCCAGAGCAACAGCCCCTATGCCGAAGTGCGCGCCGTTGTTGACAATACCGACGACCCTTCTACTCCGTGCTCAACCGTTCGCTCGTGGACCATCGGCATCCTCTTCTCTGTCATCCTAGCCTTTGTCAACCAGGTAGGCACCGAATTTCTGGTTGCCCAAACACTCGCATCGTTCTTTAACTGACAATCATCACAGCTCTTCAGTGTCCGCCAGCCCAGCATTTCCATCGAATCCAACGTCGCTCAGCTCCTTGCTTTCCCTCTAGGCAAAGCCTGGGAAAAATGGATGCCCTATTACGAGTTCACCCTATTCGGCACCAAGCACAACCTCAACCCAGGAAAGTTCAGCAAGAAGGAACACATGTTGATCGCCATCATGGCAAACACGGCCAAGTCGCTGCCCTACACGCAGTACATTGTGTGGACACAGGTGCTGCCGCAGTACTTTAACCAATCGTATGCGAACAGCTTTGCGTACCAGATTTTGATTGCGTTGAGCACCAACTTCATCGGCTATGGCCTTGCTGGTGAGTGACAGTCTCCCCCTCCGGACGGATGTGAGGGCTTTTGAGTGACTGACAAAGAGCGAAAATAGGCATCACTCGCCGCTTCATCGTCTACCCATCCTATTGCGTCTGGCCTGCATCTTTGGTGACTATCGCCCTCAACTCGGCTCTGCACCACGAGGAAAACCACACAGTTCCCGGTCCATTCAAGAAGTTGTACAGCATGTCGCGCTTCAAGTTCTTCATGTGGGCTTTCGGCGCCATGTTCGTGTACTTCTGGTTCCCCAACTACCTCTTTGAGGCCTTGACATTCTTCTCTTGGATGACATGGATCGCTCCCAACGTAAGGCAACCCCGATTTGCCTCTTGTGGTTGATCAAAAGTGAAACTGACATTTGACAGAACTTGAACTTGAACATCCTCACCGGCTTCCAAAACGGCACTGGCGTGAGTATTCCCCCAGGTCATGAATTATTATTGTCGGGATGCATTGAGACTGATTTTGTGAACAGATGTTCAACCCCTTCCCAACTTTCGACTGGAACGTCATGCTCTTCGACGCCGTTGACCCTCTCGTGAGTCTTGTTGTATCTCCGGTCTTTCAAGGACTCGTGCTAATATATGCCAGATGGTGCCTGCTTTTACCACCTTCAACAAGACCGCCGGCATGGCGTTCTTCGGCTTCATCATTCTGGGCCTTTGGTACACCAATGTCTGGAACACCGGCTATCTTCCCATCAACAGCAACCGTGTGTTTGACCACTATGGTAGCCTGTACAACGTCTCGCGGGCCATCGACGAGAAGGGCATGTTCGACGCGGAGAAGTACATGGATTATAGCGCCGCATATCTTTCCGCCGCAAACACGATCGTGTACTTCGCCTTCTTTGCCATCTATGCCGCCACCATCAGCCATATCATTCTTTTCCACCGGGCCGAAATTGCTATTGGATTTAGGAACATCTGGAAGTCTGTGAAGCCCAAGAGATGGATCAAGAGAAACGCTGCCGGGGAGAGTCTCGAGGAGGAGGATGTTGGGTACAAGGATGTGCATAACCGTCTGATGGCTGTTTATCCCGAAGGTGAGAACTCCTTCCCGCAAGAATAACGGGAAAAGATTACTGACAAGACGCCACAACAGTTTCCGAACTGTGGTACTTCGGCTGCCTCGTCATTGCCATGGCCCTTGGCTTTGCTGGTGTTGCCGCCTGGCCCACATACACCACTGCTGGTGTCGTTCCCTATGGCCTGTTCCTTGCCATCATCTTCGTCATCCCTATTGGTATCATCAAGGCCATGACGGGTATTGAGGTCACCTTGAACGTGTTGGCCGAGTTCATCGGTGGTGCCTGGGTTGAGGGCAACGCCTTGGCCATGAACTTTTTCAAGTCTTTCGGGTCAGTAATCCCCTCCTTTCCCGTCATCATCAGTTACCAATCTAACTTTCCACAGCTATGTGACCTGCGCGCATGCCATCAGCTTCGCCAACGATCTCAAGCTCGCCCACTACATCAAGATTCCTCCCCGCCATACCTTCACCGCCCAGATGGTGGCTACCCTCATCTCCACTTTCATCTGCACCGGTGTGCTCAACTTCCAAGTCAACATTGAGAACATCTGCCAGCCCAACGCGCCCATGCGTTTCTTCTGCCCCGGTATCAACACCTTCTTCACTGCCGCCGTCTTGTGGGGAACTATTGGTCCCGTCAAGGTGTTCGGTGTCCACGGACAGTACAAGTGGCTCCTGTTGGGATTCCCCATCGGCCTTTGCATCCCCATCATCTTCTGGCTCATCATCCGCAAGTTCCCGCGCAACAAGTTCATCCGCCAGTTCCACCCCGTGGCTCTGTTCTACGGTGGACTCAACTGGGCGCCCTACAGCATGAGCTACTGCTGGCCTGCGGTGCCCATTGCGTGGTTGTCCTGGATCTATGTCCGTAACAGGTACTTGGCGTTCTGGTCCAAGTATAACTTTGTGTTGAGCGCCGCCTTCAGCGCGGGTATTGCTGTTGCCGGCATCGTCATGTTGTTCTCGGTGCAGTGGGCCAGAGTGAGTGTGGAGTGGTGGGGCAACGAACAGCCGTATAAGGGTTGTGAGGATACGGCTTGCACGATCAAGACGTTGTCGGAGGGAGAGAGGTTCTTCCCCTGGTGGGACGCGAACAAGGTGCCTGCTCCTTAAGGTGGTGGAAGAGTAGTGGCGGCGAGCTGTGGGTGTCGCAGCTGTGGTCAGCGGTCGATATGGGAAAGGGGGTTCTGAGACTGGCTGTGTCTGGATCTCGGTATGTGGAATGATTGATGGTTCTGTTTTTTGTTGATGATATCCAACTGTGCTTTCGTTATCAAACCTCTAGCGGTATACGGTAGCCGATACCTATAGCTTATAATACTTGTTGTATTGATGACATGTTCCCCAAGTTCCTGTTCTGTTGTACCAGTGTCTGTCTGTGTATGCAAGAGGTGATAATACCGAGAAGAGAACAAAAATAGGAAAGAAGAAAAAGAAGAAAAATACCGCCCATTCATGTCCTCAGCACCACCCATACTTCTCATTAGCAACCCACTCCACGTCCTCCGTCCTGCCCCCCTCCATCCCTTCAGCCCCATACCACATCAAGCTGGGAATGCTATCCATATCCCTCTCCACGTACGCATAGCCGCCCTCAATCTTGGCCTTCTCAATCAGCCTGCTCACCAACGGACTCGGGTTCCACATCTGCACATCCTCCACCCTCCACTCGGCCGCCTCCCTTTGCGCGACTTGCATAATCGCCCTAAACGCCTCAACCAGATACTTTTCCGTCTCTGGGTCCTCCGTCACTGTTTTGAGAGAGTCTTCATCCCCCAAGTCCTCAACACCCTCCATGACAAACCGCAAAATATGCATATGATTCCCCTCGATACTCTCGCTCTCCAGTCCTCTGTAGTACGAGCGCGTCCAAACTGCCCACACCCGCTTATTTTTCTGGTCATCATTCCAGCAGGCCGGGGCCGGCTATAAATAGCTCCCCTGACAGAAGGTGTGCGGTCAAAAATATGTTGCGTCATGAAATCTTCTCTGAGTAAATGCCAGAGCAAGCAATCCAAGTCCGGCAACAAGGCGACGTGCGTCTTGTCTGGGTTGGCGCGTGCAAGACGGGGGAGAGTGGTGGTTAAGAGGTTTTGGGTGTCGATTGCGGCTAGGGGGGGCAGGGTGTGGTAGCTTATTGGTGAGAGGAAGGAGGAGGCGAGGCGGCTTGGGGATGGGAAGGAGGAGCTGGATGGGGAGGAGGTGCCGTTGGGGGAGGTGGTGGAAGAGGAGAAGGAAGACTTGGTAGGGCCAGGTTTGAAAGAGACGTGGACCGAGGGGAATGCTTTCCAGCCGTTTTTGGCGTAGAAGGATTTGCCGATGTCGGAGTAGAGGACTGAGAAGAGGGTTGTTTGTTCGTTTCCGTCCATCTTGTTTCCGTTCTCGCCCTGGCCAGAGGGAGACTCAGGCCGATCCTTCTTGTCAACAACCTGCCAGTTCCGCAACCGCTTCCCCAGCTCCTGCATCATCCTGTTCGCGTACCCCTTTCCGCGATACTGGGGATCGGTAAACACAGACCCGATGCCGTGCGAGATTCCTTCAGTCACAACGACGCAGTCGGAGGAAGGGTCGTAGCGCGCGGCGACGGCATGTTTGCGGAGGGTTTCGCAGGAGGAGAGGACGGGTCGGTTGTTTTCCTCCTGAGCAGAATCGGTGTCGGTAAAAATCCAGTGCGTCAAGCCTCCATCTTTGGCGAGCGGGAGAGTCGTCATGAAGTGTTCACGCGCGAGGTACTCGGAGTGGGAGAGGGCGGGGCCCCACATGGGGTGCGTGAGGGACCATGTTTTGGGACGCTCGGAGGGGTGGGCGAGGGTGAGGGTTAGGGAGGGTGAGGAGGCGGAGGGGAGGGAGTCGGTCGTGGTGGTAGAGCCCATTTTTGCGGTTGTGGAACGGTTCGGTCCAAGAGTGATGTTGTTGGTGGTGTCCTGAAGCTGTAGGCTTTAATCTCGATCGGAATGTGACCGCCTGCTTCTAGGATAAGAGCTTCTAGGGTAGATTTCAGGAGTGTTGGAGGTTGTTGAGTCGGTAGCCGTCAAGGTCCCCCATCGACAATGAGCAACCGAATTGAGGTGGTCACGGGTTGCTGAACCGAGGAAGTCAAAGGAAATGCAGAGTGGTGATGCTTGGCGGACGAGGATAGGACAAAGAGGACTATAGGAGACCTAATCTACCCCCAAGAGAGATACACCAAAAGAAACAAGCAAAAAATAAGTGATGCCCAGGACGGGAACAGATAACGAACGGAAGAAGGAGGGGGAGGGTATAAGATAAACGTCAAGTCTGGGGTTAAAGTGGAAACACTTTTGGAAGCTTCCACGGAAAGAAACGAGCGTGTGGACCTCTCTCTTCTTGGACAAGATCGATCGATTGAGGTCGTTGACATGGTGACAGCTCGAGGAGTGACCTTCCCCAACTGCAACCGAGAGGGTCCACCAATTCCCGCCGGGAGAGCCCCAGTGAGCCGCCCAGTGAAAACCCCTGTCGCAGCCTTAACACCTGCCCCTAAACCGAAACACTAACACGCTATTGGTCACTCGCCAAGTCACGATCACCCTCTCTCCGCTGCTCTCCGCACAGTTCTCAGTGGTCCGAACCATCATGACATAATACTGTTCAGGGATCCCCTAACAGTGCTGTTAACAGTGGTGCTCGGATAACGGAGGGCATTAGACAAACACTCGCCAACAAAGCCAAGCAGCGTCCCCCAAAAACAAAGCCAGCGTCACATTTTGGAGATAATGGCGGTAAGCAAGTGCAGATATTTCGCCTAGTATCGGCTTTTGGGAGGGGACAGTGACCGTTCCGACATCCGGAATTCACTCCGGGGTGTACTTTGGGCACCTGTCGGTATCTCATGTGACGGACCATCTTAGGTAACAGCCTTCCATGCTGTGCAAGCGTCTTGTCTGCCCGGCTTGTCCATCGAATTGATCGATTGAGGGACCATCTGACCCTGGAGGTGAAGTTGTGTTTGTGCTCTTTTTGTCGTCTTTGTCCAATTGAGGTCGGGGCCAAGATTGTGGCTTTCAATTGACGAGTCGTCGTGACGGCGGCTGACAAGTGATAAGGAGCAGATAAGGAAATGGAAACGGTGACGGTGGGCCTGGGGGATGCCCCACCTTTTTCTTTCAACGACATCTCTTCTTTCCAGGTTCCTTCCCGTCGTGCCTTCCTTCTCGAGTTACTTCACTTTTCCATGTGGATATCATGAAATTAGTTCTGTTACGGTCGTGGCCGACCCTAGTACTTGTTCAAAAAGTGCAAAGTCTTGAGGTTGTCTTCATTCCCACCTAGACGGGGTACTTCTCCTCCAGGGTTCTTCTGGAAAACCAACCCATCACCAGGCACTCAGTTCCCGCCGCATGTTTCGCCCTGCTTGCCATATTTTGTTTCACTCACTGACGAAATGTTTTCGTGTCAAGCGATCTGTTTTCTACAAGTGTTTGTCCATTCTTCTATGCCATTTGCGTGTGCCTTCATCTCCGTACCAGTCTCCCCTTCCCGACCTCTGTGTGCCTTACTTCCACCCTGCTCCCTGGGTACCCTACCCCTGGCTCCCATTCGCTATCTCTAGCATATCTCTAGCAAGACATAGACAGTACCTCCTTGTCGCATTCCTCCTATTATTCATGTTCACAACCTGGGCCTGGAACAGACGTGGATTCACGGCTCTTGCCTACATCCATCGTCAACCATGGTGTTCACTAGACCTCCCCTTGCCTTCCAGCCGTTCAGGCTGCCTAAAACTTCCGAACCCACCGGCAGGGCCTAAGTAAGTGCTGGTCCGCTTGTGTGGCCAGTCGGTCAGTGTACGCCGGTCCGGAATCTCCACACTCTTGCTCCGGAAGGAATGGGGGTCTTCTGTCGCCCTGATGCCGCACTGCGGCACACAAACATGCTGGCACAACGATAGAACCGCCCCGAACAGAAAATCCATCATACATCCAAAGATTTGCGAAAACGGAATCGCTCACAAGTCGATAGACTTCGTCCGATTTTCTGGCCACCTCTATCCGTACCATTTCCGCATGCTCGTTGCCCGTTGTGGTGACGCGTGAGGAGTGTTGAGGATGAATGTGTGATCTTCTTCGCTTATTCCAACGTCTATCTGATTGTCAGAGGAGAATACACAGTGGAAGATGACAAATCTGAAGCCAGGAACTAATTGTCTCGAGCTTCGTGTTCTTGGCGTTGGCTTATCCATCTCACGAACATTTTCTACTTGAGCTTGGTCAATACGAGCACATGTAGAACAATCCTGTCAATCCTCACACGCTTGTAGCACTTGCTATAAAGCCATCCTTAATGTTTTCGTACACACTCGTTTCCATGTCATCGGTCTCAGGCCGCTGTTGATGCTCAAACTTTGCAAAACTGCGAGTGTCCTCTGCGTCACGAACCATGTCACTGGGACAAACTGCCACGCTTCAGGTTCCTGGGAAGTTCTGGGTATGACTCAATAATCAACACAACTGCTTATATCGTTTCGTTGTCAGATATAGGTTCCAGACCTAAACATTACGTTGTCTTTGGGATAAAACCCCGTCCTCCTCTCTACCTATCCCGAAATATTGGAACTTTTATGATGCTCCTCTTCAGCTTAACATACCAAAGTCTGATGGTCTCGGTCCAGTAAACCTTGGCTCTCCAGAATCTTTGGACAGTCCTTAACTCGTTTTAATTCAATTTGCACGAATAAGGTGTTGTTGCTGTAGTGACAGGCCTCTGCCCTTAACTCTGTGTCGTTGTTTTGCAGACCGCGGTATCGTATCAATATTCCTCCTCGATGTTCAACTCGGGTCTCACCTAGTCTCAGCGAATGCATACAACCGATCCTGATGCTACAGTTTCTGGCTCCTGAGCTTTCTCTCACTATCTCTCTCTGTCTGCTTGAGTGGCAGCTCGGCGATCATAAACAATCCTCTTTGGTTGATATCAGGAACTGCCTCTGTTGAAGGTACCGACTGGTCCAAGCTTGCTCTAGTAAAGGTTTCGTCGGCGTTCAGGGCTCTTCACTCGCACATAACTTGGCTTCCGCTCACCTATTACTTGATTAAGCGGGTATCTCTCCCGTGCTATCATCACGGAATGCGTCAGGGGGTGGAATGAACAAGTGATGGCTAGGACTAGGTCAAGGTTCCGTGGGTGTTCGGGCAGCTCTGCTAGCATGTAGCTCGGCATTGATTCACCTACTATGTGGCTAAACCGTCATCCACTGCACGTTGTGGAGACCAAGGTCAAACCTGAAGCTGTCACGGCTAAGCTTTCCAGTGAAGGGTCTCAATTTCTGGGTGGATCTAACCGTTATAAATATCTGGTGTGTCCACACACTGCCTCCAATTCCTCCTTTCTCCTCCATCGAACATCGACCTCGAATTTTCGGTCAACTTGACAACCCCTTGACTTGGATCACTTGTCGCAAGCTAGCTATCATTGAGCTACGCCACCACAGCCCGATCACCAGCTTGATTCTCCCTTATCTTCCAATCGTCTCTGAGCCCTACGAAAACTTACAATGTCATCGACCAAGGTCGACAGCAGCACCGCTGTCGAACGCTGCCAGGCTTCAGTATGGCACGAGATGAAGGATTACATCGACGCTTCAATGAAAAAGACTGATATCTCCAGCATTGTCCCTTTCGCCAATTGCTACATTTGCCTTGGAGAACTGGACATCTTTGGCATCCCTTCCGTCGGTTCGGCTGACAACGCCCGCGCCGCTTGCTTCCTTCCTTGTGGTCATTTTTTCTGTGTAACATGCTGGAAGACTTGGATCCGCAAGCGACCCGAGCCGACGAGACATGATATCGGCCCTACAACTCCCATTCCTCAAGCAGGTCTTCAAGGTGGGCCCTTCACCTGACATCCTTGAACGATTATATGTGTGCTCCGCAATTATGAAGAAGGGCTGGACTTGGACTAACAAATTTTTCCACACAGGCGTTCACCGTCTCGCGTCAATGGAGCTCGGAGTATACAACAAGTACGGCCAGTCCAAGCCGTATCGAAGGTTTGAGTGCTCAACGGCGATTACCTGCCTGGTGCCGGACTCAGACAATTTCCCGGCTTGTCGTGGAAGTTGGCGATCATCAATGCCTATCTGTGCTTGGACTCAAGCGGTCAGGAGAAGAAGCCGACCTGGGGCCGCTGGCCGAAGGAGCTCGACTACATGCTCAAGCAGCGCGGCTGGACTAAGGGTGTCGAGTTTGTGGATTGGAAGAAGGCCGAAACGGGTCCTGCCATTCCGGAGCCGTCTGACGAGACTCCAAGCAACCTGCAGGCTCTGAATCAATTCCTCAACCGCATCAGCCGCTACTGGAAGAATGCCATCACTGGACAAACTACCGACACCGAGGATCCGGAAACTCTGGCGCTGTCGGTGGACTGGAAGTCGAGTCAGCGGGCCCTCGACAACGGCCTTCGCCTATGCGATATGGAGGGCATGGGCCCCTACTATGACTGGGACGAGCTCCTTGAAGCTCCGGTCTGGCGGGCCCGCGGCATCAGCAAGGTCGCTTGCGACCGTTGGGGCCAGGCTTTTGGTCGTGAGGTCCAGGCTCACGCCTTGGGAGGAGTACTAGAGGGTCCCGGTCTTGTCATCATGCAGACAGACAACTTCAGCCTTTGCGTCAAATATAAGGTGGAGCGCATTCCGAGGCAGGGTGAGGCGATCCAATCTCGTTGGCCGCTGTGGCTGCTCCGTTCCATCCGGGCTATCCCCATCCACGTCCGCTCTGCGATGATGTTTGGTTTGGTTCTGTTTTCCTTTTACTTCTTCTGTTCCGTTATGGTCAGTGCTGTCACTAGAAGTTGGGACTTGGACGTGGTCGGACGGAGGCAGTTTGGGAACATGGCCGAGCAGAGACTGTCCAATGCTTCAATTGAGTCGCTGGGGATCCTTTGAGCTTCTTCTTCATTTTCTAGGGGGATTATTCACGGCCGCAACTTTGTCTGGGAGTCAACTATGCCGCACGCGGCCTAATACATGTATATATAGATAGTGATACAGGGTAGCCATGACTGACTGACTGGGCCAGAGCATACTTGGTCCGCGCTCTGCTGGATTCGTTCGAATGAGCCGACCCAGACACAGCACTGGGCAGTCAGCTACATAGATAGTCAACGATTACTGCTCTCTCAAACAAGATCTCCTAAGTTAATCAATCAGTAATCGATCAATCAGCGGTCAATCAATTATTCATCTATCTGCAACCAAATGAGCTTGCTTACTTCTTTTCAGCCATGTATCGAAGCATGCCGTACCAAGCAAAGAGAACTGGATGACAACCAAAGCGAACTGGACGATAAGTATTTACGCTATCGCTAACGAGATGGACGACGCGATGATTGAAGGTTGCCGCCAAAACCTCACCCGTGCCCGCGACGACCGGCGTGTGCACGAGGAGCACGGTTTTCCCCAATTATTCTCGTCTGATTCCCACGAGAGTCGAATGGTTTGACAATCTACCTCCCCGCACGACCCTTGTTGGTCTATGACATACAGACCATGCCTCAACCAGGATTTTACCCGACCATGCTGCCTCGGAGCACAGTACCCCGACATCCAAGATCCCAACAACGGCTGGAAGTGTCGTGCCACAGGTCGCCGCCTTAACATGAAGGTGGTCGACGCCGTCTGCGGCCAGTGCACTCATGACCTCAATCGGTACCTTTACCTCGTATTCAAGTACGACGAAGTAGAGCCGTACTAGCCTGGCTAAAACGCACACAACCCAACCCTGCCTGACCTTCTGAAGGGGGCCGGACACAGCTACGGTTAACGTTATGGAACTAGAATTGATCTGTGTATGAAGTGGGGTATATAAACCCAAAGTCCCCGCTTCCGTTCAACAACAACTGCAAAAGCATACAAATGGGCAATTGGTCTAGGGGTATGATTTTCGCTTCGCATTGTTTCCTCACCGATGCAACTGTGAAAGGTCACCGGTTCGAATCCGGTATTGTCCATGATTTTTGCACTTTTGCACAATGCATTCTGGGTTTGAGAACATTATTCGGACGGCAACGATGTGTTTCTCTTTTTTTTTCGTTTGGATTTGACGTCAGTTTGCACGTTTTGGCGTTTTGGTGTTCTGGTGGTGCATGGTCGGGTGTTGCGTCAACATGGAAGGCAACCGAAATTGGCAAGAGAGGAAACTGGAAAGAGCAGCGGCGGCGGAAGGGTAGCGGGACAGAGGGCCAGAAGCAGCTACGATGAAGGCGATGTACATATGTGAGGGAAGGTATGACTGCAGTGGATGAGCTCCTGCCTGGCAGGCGAACGGTGTACGTACTTTTGGGGACGAGAAACAAAGCGTCACTGGCAGAAAGATGAAGAGTAGCAACTGCCCGCTACTTGTCTAGCTAGTTAAAGGCTGTTTTGGTCACGATAAGGGAAACGACGATAGGACTGCGTGTGGCGTGGATTAAAGTGACGGCCCGGGGGGCAGATCTTGGGTGCGCGGGTAAGGTATCAAACGAGAAATGTACCACCGGCCCTTTAGGTTAGCGACAATGGTGATGCTTCGGACCGCATCGGATTGGACTGGACTGGCTGGACTGCTCTCAGTTGCACCGCAAACCGCAAACCGCGATAATCAATCAAAAAACGGTAACGTTGTATTTGTGCACTCTCAAGCGACGAGGTCTTTGCCGTTTCGAAAGACAGATAGATATATGTGCTACTGGTCACTACTGTAAATACTTTTGAATGAGGTCGTTCATATCGACTTGGCCAATCACCTACCATGTCGTTGAAGTTAGCTACAGATTGCTTGGTTCCTTACGTCGACTGTCAATACCTGAAATACTCGGTCATGGACCCCTTGGAGACATTATGACACCGGCTGTGTACAAAAACGACTGGGAGGGAAGATCAGAAAAAGGCAAAGCCGGGCAGGACTTTGGTGGGAGATTCCAACAAGCGACGATGACAAAACAAACCTGATGTTGGAACATAAACATGTATTTTAGCTAAACAAAGTTGTTGGCCAAAACCCATAACACTGGACTGCCTTCTCGTATCCTATCCTATCCCATCCTAGCCTCTCGCCTGACGCCGGTTCCTCTGCTTCCATGGATTTTCCTTTCCTTTCCTTTTTTTCTACATCCCACACTTGAACTGAGCTCAAGCCGTCAAGTTAATCTCAGATAGACGGTTTCGAACACAGAGTACTTCGTCTTTCATAAGAGAAGTCACGCTGAGAGAGGCTTTTCTCTACTGCAAGACGCCAATGCCAAACAGGAATCCCCCTCAGCCAAAATTTTGCAACCCTTCAACTTCCTTTCTTTACAGAGGCTTGGGATCGGCCCCGTGCAGGTTTCTAGCCCACCGCGGGAGTTTCCTATCCCTCTCGTAAATGAAGCCGCAGTTATTGCAGAGTGACTGTGAAAACAAGTTCGTTAGCATCATTTTTTCACAACACAAATAGTAGATCAGATAGGTAACTCACCCTCGGTCCATAAGGCCCATCCCTCACCGCCCAAACACTGGTGCCCCAAACCCTACAGCACGAGCATCTCCAGATGTTCCGCTCATTATCCGCCAACGTACCTCCGCCACCATACCCACCACCAGCACTGGGGCCGCCGCCGCCGCCTCCAACATCCGGGGTATGCCTACCACTAGTCGGCGACAGACTTCTAAACCTTCTCTTCTTCTTGCTCCGCTCTCCGCGTCCCATGCGCTCCTCCTCTTGCTCAATAAGCCCGCCAAATCCAAAGCCGACCGGCACGCCGCCCGCCATGCCAGTATTGCTACTGAACCTCGCCGTCTCTCTGCGCAGTCGGCGAATCTGCCTCTCGCGATCGCCCTCGCGCTTTTCGATTTCTTCTTTGCTGAGCGTCTCCAGCTTGGGCTCCCAATCGTCCGCCAGATGCTCGGGGTCGTATCGCCAGCCGGCGCCCTCGCCGCCCGCGGTGACGGCCGCGTCGTTGGGGAACTCGACGCCGCCAACGCCGCCACCCAGAGCAGTGGTGCCCCAGCCGGCTACCAGGCCGCCGGACTCGCAAGCCTCTTTCTTGAGCTTGAGAACTGCCTCGTAAATGGCGTGCGTCATGGCGGGTACCCACTCGCCGTGCAAGCCGAGGTCGGCGCAGGTCTGCTTGGCGAAGGCCTCGGCGGTGCCTGGCGGGTGGAGGAGCGACCACTCGAACTTGTCGGTGTAGACTTGCGAGGAGAGGTTGATGTTGAGGTTGATGATGCAGCGGTAGGTGTCGTCGGGGCTGAAGTCGTCGGCGTCTGGGGGAATCGGGGTCGCGGCAGCGGTGATTTCGCCGGTGGATGTTTGGACTGCTGAAGTGCTGCCATTGGCGGCGGCGGCGGCGGGTGTTGGTGTTGATACGACGTTGGTGCCGTTGACTGCTGGGGTATTAGGGGTCGAGGTCGGCGCGACTTCGAGCAGGTTCGTGGGCTTGGGAGCCTCGGTTGCTGGACGGTCGCGGTGGGAGTGGAAGAGAGGATGGAGAGCGACTCCGGCGTACTCTTCTAGTTGTGTCCTTATTTGCTTGTTGATCTCGGATATGGTCTGGTTCCTATTGGGCAGATCCAAGTCCTGGACCAGGATGGTCGCAAACTGATCGGTGGTAATCAAAGTCTCGTGCAAGTTCCACAGAAACGTGTCGCGTAACCGGTACGGGACGGTGGGCTCCTGTGGTTTGAAGAGGGGACTGTTGGGGTCCAGGCTCGCAGCATTCGCGGGGAGAGACGGGGGCGGAGTGTAGGACGGAATATCGAGGTCAATCCGTATAGGAATCAGTGTGAGAGGAAGGCTGGCTTGGGCGAAGTTTTGTTGGTCGGATCGTCCCTGGCGGAATCTACCCATCCAGTCTCGCCAAATGCCCTGTACCTCTACAGGCTCATGTGTCTCCTTCCCAACCTTCTCAGCCGCATCGGCCTTGACACCGCCGTCGTCGACGGGCTGTACGCTGCGAAGACCTGTAGGGCGGCGGCGGCTGCGGGTATTGTCGTCGTCATCATCGTAGTCGTCGTAGCCATCCTCGGCGTAGTTGATGATGGTAGTGCCGCGTTTCGTTGTGCGCGAAAGTGGGTTCGCGGGAGCAGTGCCGGGAAGAACGGGCGTTAAGAGGGAGTTGTTGTAGGTGCGTAGCCTCGGCGCATAAGAGGAGAATACGGACTGCTGGTTTTCGGAGCGCGCCATTGTGAAGGTGGTTCGTGTGGTAGTAGTGTATAATTCTCGACGACTATGGTAATGTCATGACGGTCGGGTAACCTGGATGGAAAAGAAGAGAGGCCCAGCACTTTGTGATATTTTGTCGAGTTCGTTGGAATTCTTCCTAACGCTGCCAATTGCTGGTCGCAAATCGAACCCAAAGTCGAAGTCGAAACCGAAGCCGAAGTCGCAAGTGGACGCGAGGGAGGACGATAATGCGGCGTGGAGATGCGAGTTGGACGAAGCTGCTTTTGGAGCTTGTTTCCGAGGGATGCTCTTGCTCTTGTTTGCGATCGAGTGCAAGCTGGTTGACGAAACAGCAAACTAATGGTTTAGGACTTGTAGCAATCCAAGGCGCAAAAAAGTCCAAGTTGAGGGGTTCAAGGGATCTCAAGGTTGAAGGACGTCACACAACTTGTCGGTTGGAAGGAGTGAACGCTATCAAGGTGGTGGTGGTTGCCCGTGAAAGTGGGTGTTGAATTTGGGTGGGCGCAACCTGCGATCGCCTGCAGTCAAAAACGCGACAAGCACTTTGAGCAATGCATGCCGCGCGAGCTAGAAACAGCCTAGCGGCAGAGGTGGGTCCTCCCTCCCGCAAAGCTCTGCTTATGTAAGGCAGCGCCCTGGTCAGCAAGTGCCAAGATTGTTTTGTTCAGGCCCTTTTCGGCAGCAAGCCCCTGTCACAGTCACAACCTTGCACGCTTCGGGACCTTCAACTTGAATGCTTCACTTGGATGACAATCCGTTGTCCGTGTCGCGGAGATCATCTTCGATTTAACCTGTTTGGTTGACCTGGAGCTCATACCTCTATGGGACTTGAAGATCCGCGACAATGAAGACCTGTCGATACGCCCTCTGGAGTTCCGCTGGGCTGCACGGTGGTTTGCCGGGCAATTTGCGGGCACAGCACGAGACAACAATGCGATAGACAAAGTCTCAGGATCACTGCGTTTGAACTCCGACTGATCATTTCCCAATTGCCAACAACCATGCCGTTCGCTGTTCAACGTCCAGACAGGACACGGTATGTGACTCTTCCAGGTGGCTAAGGTGTGGTTGGGGGATCTAAACAGGAGTTCGGGAGGGCCCGAAAATCCTGGTCAGTGGCCCATGAACCCTTTTTCTGTTGACCGTCGAGCTTCCTACTTCTGTCGCCGTGTCTCATGGAAGGAATAGAAAACCGCCTGCTTCTTCTTTGTCCACCTGGACAGACAGAAATGAGAGGTCGGGAAGTGGCCGGTACTGCAGAGTTTTCTTCGTCGAGAAGAATCCCCGTTGGTTCAATCACTCACTCACTGGTGATAAGCCCATTGTCTCTTTGTCGCAACATGGCCCAGTTCTTTGCTCGGCAAGAAGCGACATTGAACTGGTACTTTTTTCCCTAGTTTCGTCCCGTTGTTGAGCTTTCTCAAGAAGTGCTTCCTTTCGTCCCTTGTCCTTTGTTGCCCTCACACACACGCCGAAGAGAACTCACAATTGCTTGCTCACAGCCTCCCAGGTTCACACAGAATCACACAATATTCCATCTGATTTCATGTCACCAACCCACAAGGACAAGCAGCAAGATTCCTGCTTGCCCATGGAGTCATGGAGCTATCCAGTCATCCATATGATCCATCCATCCATTCATCCCTCCTCATCACCAACAAACCCTATAAAGGCCAGTTAGGCACTCAGCGATAACCCCATCTCCCCTCCTTTCTCTCACTATATACCTACCTTACCCAAACCAAGCAACAAGAAACAAGCAACAGCCGCAATAACTCCGAACAAGCGCCGCCCGTACAAGCCCGTACAGCCCCAAAAACCACAAAACCCCCAAAACAGCAGAATGACAACCCAAGCCGACATGGTCCCACCCCCCGAAGCCCATCTGGCCAACCACCAAATCGACGGCATCCGCATACTACGCAAAACGCTCCTCGGCTCGCCCTCATACGACGAAGTGTGGATGACCCTCAGCATGACCTCGGACGCCATCAACCTGGACGTGCCGTCCATACTGCTTTGGCAGGACGAAGGGCAGAAGAGGAGGAATGCCTTGTTTTATTTCATTGATGAGGGGGAGGAAGGTACGTCTTTTTCTGTCTGTCCCTTTTTTCGTCTTGTTGGTTACCTAACCTACCTACCTACAACGATTTTGGAACCAGACGAGACGAGGCAGGTGGGTCGTGTTGCTGGGCCTGACAGTGTAAATGCACACACGGCAGCAAGAATGCTAACGAATTGAACACTGAATAAATAGCCGTCGCGATGGAAATCTGCCAAATCCTGTTCGATGCCAAAAATGAAGACACGCTTCGGGAGCTGGTGCATGCGATTTGTTATATCCACGGGGAGCCGACGGGGCTTCGGGACCTGGCGGAGAGGAAGGGGTGTGAGAGGATTTTGAGGATGTTGGAACGGGTTGGTTGTATTTCTCCGTCTACGTCCTCTTCGTAGTGTTTCAAAAGAGCATGGACTACCTAGTTGGTTGGTTAGGTGGTGGAAGGGAGAAATATGTTTAATGTGAGTGAACGGGGAGTGATATATTGGAAAATGAATGATTTGACCTTGACTTACTCAGCTGACAGCTCAACATGTAAAATGTTTTCTGTACGGGGCTGGGGGTGAAGGAGGTGATAGTTGAGCTACTACTATTGGATGTTCTGGCCTGTGATGATGGAAAGAAGATCACAAAGAAGTGATGGTCTAATGGAACAAGATACTAAAATAGCAGACGCGTTGTCATTGAAGACCTTGACTTAAAGTGACGATCTTGGGTATCTTTCCGCAAGTATCTGCGTTTTCGGCACAGCTGTTGTCTCCTTCAACATACAGCTTCCCGACATAACAAACATTCAAGGTCGAAATCAAAAGACGAGACAGGATATTCTCGAAAACTGGGACAAAAAAGGAATTAGGCGTCATGAAGTTCAAGAAAGGAATGGGACTAGCGAAAAGAGCAAATAGGAAAGAAAGAAAAAGGAAAAGAAAGGAAGAGAAAAAAGAAAGCTCGGAGAACCGGATCATTTTGAAATCGTTTTTATCACTCGGATACCGGGAGTCGAACCCGGGGCTGTTGAGAAAGCAGTCACTCCTGGAGAAGTGAGAGTCAACGATGTTACCGCTACACCATACCCGATCCGTATGGAATTCCAAGCTTTTTGTTGAAGGCCACGGAATGATTTAGGATTTATCAAATGGTGGTGTAATTTTGGTGTGTGGGACGGTGGGTGATGTTCAGGGTTTTAGGTTTTTCTGACTCGCATGCCTGTGGATCTCGACGACCCGACCTATTGTTTACTCTTGTGGGGTTTAAGGGTCCAACAACCAGGGGTTTCAAAAACTGAAGGCTTGGGATTTGCGAAGAATAACGTAGTTCTAAGTGTAGAGGTACAGGCTCAAAACATCCCAAGAGGACCGTTAGATAGTATATATAGGTATTAAACAACAACATTGAGGATAAATGAAACTTCATACCATGATGTTCTTTTTGCCTCAGATAGAATGGTACCCTCACAAACCGATCTCCACCCAAATTGGTACATGATCACTCGGACCGCGCTCCTGAGGCGTGTTAAGTATTCCCGTATCAATCACACGCCCGTCCTCCCACAACTGCTTGGAAACAATCACCATATCGACCCTGTTGCAACTGGTCCCCCACACATTGGACTGTGAGTAAAATGTGTATCTTTTCTCCATGCCGTATATTGCACGGAACACATCCACGGCATCAAGACACTTTTCCTTCTCCATGTCTTGTTTTCCAGGACCAAGCCAGGCGCCGGCTCGCTTGTTGTCTTCCTCGCCGAAGAACTTGCGGTTAAAGTCCGCCCGGTGAACGCAATAGAATGGTGGGTCGGTTCGGAGGCGGGGGTATGCGTCCACATCCCCTCTGGCCATGTTCATGTCGCCTGCGACAACTACATTGAATCCGCGTGCTTCCAGGGAATGGCACTCGTCTAGGAGCAGGGCATTGAAGGCGAGCAGTCGATGATTGCGAGTCGGATAAATAGGATGGACGGCACCCGTTTCAGGGCAGAGATGCGGTCTCGTTCCGCCGTAGAGGCCGTAGATAGCGATGAGAGCCAGAGGTTTCGTAGTGGATGACGAATCGCCGTCTTGCCCTTCTGGCCCCCCCCTCATCTCGACAACGCTGACTCTCCCCTCGATGTCCCAGTCAACCTCCCGCACTGTAGCAACCCATTTGCGAGCAAAATCTTTCCTGATTATTGTTGCCACACCGTACATATATCCTGCAAAGGCTGTACAATTTTGCCTGTCACGTGGAAGTACTGCATTGAGAGTGTACGCGCGATCTTCGAACACAGTGTCGGCGGCGTTGAGCGGAGTATTGAGAGTTTCGAGTAATTCGGTTAGGAAAAAAGGTCCTTTTCGCCTGCTGATCTTGAGTTCCTGAAGGAAGAGGACTTCAGGCCAGTTGTGGCGGGAAAGAAACGCTCGTAGCGTAGATGCTGAGCCTAAGAGTTCTTTTGCGGTGGGTGTAGATGGTAGATCGGCCGTTGGGGATCCGTTAGCCTTCAAAGCATCGCGGCTTGCGCGTGCACCTCTGAAAGCGGATGTGAATTTGCCCGAGTAAGGAGCAAGGGACGGAAGGAAAGTCTTGAGGCCGTCGATGTTCCATGAGAAAATACGGAACGAATCTCTGCTCGGAGGAGAGCTTGTTGATGGATCGGCGCTTTGGAGTGTTGACGAGGCACGGGTGCTATCCAATGCTTTGCTTGGGGTTAGTGTCAAGGGCGGCGGGCTGACCCCTTTGCTGCTGCTTGTTGTATAAAGACGCGGATGAGAGCGGTTCTGTGCCCTTGTGATGTGTATCAAGACATTATCGGAGAGTGTGATGGCAATATGCCTGCAGATGGACGTCTGCATCTTTGGCCATCGATCCGTTCAAGGCCCAACGTGGAAACCAAGGACAAATCCGTCAAGCCCGGTGAAGGCGAACCAAGAGATGCGAGCAGAAAGGCAAGAGAAAGAAAAGGAGAAGAAAAAGGCAGACGAGGGAGACCAGCGGATAGTGTGTACGATCATCAAGGGATTTGAAAACTTTGAGTGTTCCATTGGTCAAGGGGAATGATGTTCTTATAAAATATGGGGAGTATGGTCACTGCACCAAAAGTGGAAGCAAGGCCTGCCGAGTAGAGGCAGGTACCGCGCACATCGGGAAGCGCCTGAAGAGCAGTACAAGTGCGCCCAGGGAAGGTACTGGGTACAAGCAGGTACAGTCAATCACCGAACGAACACACTGCAGGCGGCTTCGGTTCACTGGCATTGACATCAATTCAAAGACCAAGTAAGGATAATCGGAGGGTCCAAATCCCCAATCGCACACATGAAAGAGCAGAAATGAGCAGGGGCAGATTACAGATAAGTAGGGTATCTTCAACCTCGGTGACCACCCCGGGAGCGGAAAGGGCAGTCGATGATTCTGAGGCGGGCCGAGATGCAGAAGGAAGGCTTGAAGCACACGGATCCGCATTTTCGGTCGGGCAGCCGGCCACTGTTTGACGGTCGGTTCCGTTTTTCCAACCACTTCCCGTTGTCACTTCCTGTTGTTACACCGACCCCAACAGGCAGACAGGCACAGCCTTTCAAACGGCACCTACCTCATAGTGAAGTGTCTGATGGCCAATTACACAACTGGAAAGGTTCACATCCACTCGTTCTTTCCACACCACTCTTGAGCTTCGGGTGGTCAAGACTTCAATTGCAACCTTGTCGATAATTCTGCATCTGCGAACCATCCAGCTCCTGCCTCGTAAGAACGAGAGTGTGTAGTGTTATTCCACACATGTTTCGTCAATTGGCAATCGCAGTATTGTCGCTCTCTCGCCCTCTACTCATCAGCTTCCTGGGGCTCCATGGGCTGGGCATTATCTTCCACCACCCATCAAAGCCGCCATGGCCAACTACCGTGATTCAGCCCAGGCCTCACGCCCAGGAACTCCGATGTTCTGCCCAGGTCACCAGAGTTGCAGCCGCGGGGCAGATATTCAAAAACTCGGTGAGTTTCTGGCCAACCAGATGCTACGCAAGCTTTCTCACGCATCACACATGTGCACTTCGAGTGATACACACCGAAGGCGAGGCTTCAGGCTATGAGGTAGGCAGACACTTGATACGAGCGGGCTGCCTCACAACTTTTGTTTTCATGAGATTTTATTATCCTTTCGATAACCACAACTTGTACCGTGCTCGAAAGCGTGTTTGGGATTCGAGCATGGTGCCGGGCTGTCTGTGATAAAAAGCGAGTTTATCTGGGAGCATACCTCTTTTTACTCTCCCAGGCTGTTGACTCGAGTCTTCTCGTTTCCCTCCAAACTACGAGCGTGCCATCATCTCATCCTTTAATCAATTAGAGACACGGAAACATTCTCTGTCGATTACTCTGGATCTGTTCAGGGTCTTATAAGACACCTTAATTTCACCACAAGGACAATTTCGACCGTGTTCCTCCCTCACTCGTTTATACAACCATGGATCCTGCCTCCATAGCCGCATCGGCCTACGCTCTCGCCGGAGGTATTGCAACATGCTCCACTGCTGTCACCCACTTCGTCCGTCAGGTGAAGCATGCGCGGAAAGACCTCGACGCGATCAACACTGAGCTTAGTGCCACCTCTGAGATTCTCAACCCGCTCGTGGTTAGTCTGATAGGCAACCAGGGTAGTCCATTACCTGAAGCTATTCTGCTCACTATCGATACATCCGTACGCCAGTGTATGTCGATCGTGGACCGCCTGAAGGCAGACATGGACCACTACAAGCGTGATGCGGTTTGGAACAAGACAAAGTGGGTTTTGTTTGGCGAGAAGAATGCCCAGAAGGCCCGTGAGAACTTGGAAATGCACAAGGTGTCTCTTGGCTTGGCCCTTCAAGTTTTGTCCCTGTGAGTATTCCTTTGACTTCTTTTCGATAACCCCCAAACTGACAAAGACATATGGGGACTCAGATCGAACACACGCCTGATCAAACAGGATACGGAGTTGATCAAAGGAAGCGTGGAGAAGATTCACAAAAACATCCATCGCATCAAGGCTCAGTTCCTCAATATACGCAGGAAACAGATACCACGCCAACTGCAAACCGCAACAGAAGTTCAGAGATGGATGGAAGACATGTCATTACTCAGTTCATATGCCGAGTCTTCTTATCAGGCTACGGTACTCGATCGACGTCCAACATCAAGCACTATTCGCCAGGGTGGAACTACAGAGACAGCGTCGGCAATAACTGAGCTATCAGCGGAAGGAGTTGCATTACCGGCAGTACCTCAACCTGGAGTCGGAAGACCGATTCCGCCACCTGTCGAACCTCACTCTCTCGCCACTATCCATGAGAATGAGAGCAGCGTACTACCTCTTGATATGGAGGCACAACCACGTGTTGGGCCCGAAACATCCACTCCGGTGCGTGTGGAATACCGCCCTTCGAGTCAAGCTCATGAGAGACGCAGCCTATTATATTGCCCTCCCAGCCTTATACCCGACCTACGCATCGCAATACCTGGCTCCTCTAGCAATACTGATGGGACAAACACTGTTCTCAGACCTATTATTGACGTGGAGAGTAGACGGTCATCATACGATGCTGAGCTGCAACCTGCACCAAGACCTGAAAAAGCTAGCTTCACGCTTGTGGAATCTTACTCCCCTAATGTTCTCCGAAAAAGAGACAACAAAGTTCTGTTGCAAGAACTCGAGGCACCAAATCCACGCATCGAACTAAACGCACCAATTTCGCTCATCGAACTCGATGCACAAAATACACGCATCCAACAAGACCATGTGCCCGAACAAAAGTGGTTGGCCCCACACGGCGGACCTGAAGCGTGGAAATCAGTCCGGTGTACACACTCATCAGACGAGTCCTCGCCGTCAAACAGCACCCGAAACGCTTCGGAAACGACCAGTAGTAGCCCGGACGAGTTCTATAGCTCATTCGAGGTGGCTTCTCCCTATTCTACCTCATCCAACCTACCTGGACGGTGGAGGGCCGCTCGCCGCGTACATTTCAATGAGCATGTACAGATTTTACCGCCAAACAACAACCTGACCAGCGACACACAGCCAAATCCAAATGACGGAGCCGAGCTTTATGGCTCGCTAGAGATAACATGCACTTACCCTACAGCGAGGACCGGGCCATCCGAAGAAGACCCAATTTCCCAGACTCGCTGTATCCATGCTCCCGGAACCCCGGAATCACCTGTCGAGCTTTCTTCCGACTCATCGCCCATTCTAGGGCAAGGAGAACTTGATATTTTCACCAAGGAGATCTTTACCAGCGAAGATGACATCATGATAAAACGGTTGGTACGACGTGATGAAAGGGTCACTGGTCTCTCAAGATCACGCCGTCGAGAGCTGTCACATGAGGAACGGAAGTTAGTCGACGGCATGCTCCTGGAGAATCTGGCAGTTCCGGATAACGACAAATTCGATGTCTGCAAGCATCTGATCTCTTCCGGAGCAGATCCTAACATTCCTCAAATTGGCACAGAAGACAAAGCTGAGGCCGGAGCCCTCATGCTGGCTGTAAAGCACCGTAAACATCGTTGCTTGTCAGCTCTCCTCCGATGGGGGGCACGCCCCAAGACGGAAGTGTTACAGTATGCCGTCAACATACACAACAATTTTGCGGTTAGGGCGCTCATCGCAGCGGGAGCAAGTGTGAATTCGGGTTTGGAAAATGAGGAGTATAGTTCTTACAAACTCATTCGACGCACAAGACCTGTCTACATGCGGCACCTGAGCACCAAGCGAAATGGCGAGGTTGTCAAGTGTCATCGGTACACACTACTTCTAGGCTTAATAACCGGGGCACTCAGTGTTCCCAGTCAGAATGCTCTTTTGAGCCAACTCTCTTGCATCCAATTTGTGCTGTCCGAAGGTGCTGATCCAAACTGGACTGGCTCGGAGAGCTATCCCTACGTCTCAGAAGACGCCACGAAGAACATGGGCTTATCGCCTCTACACGTTGCCGTTCTTGTATGGGCAAAATTCGGAGACATCGCAACTCTCGCCATTGCCAAAACACTATTGGCATTCGGTGCAAAGCCAGACATCTTCCTAGAGCTAGGCAAGTGGCCTTGTTTTGATTGCTTCGGGTCATCACCTATACGAATGGCCATTAAAACTGGTAACCAGATGCTGTTTGAGCTGTTGCTTGATCACGGAGCAGCCGACGACAACTACATGGGCATAAGTACGTTCCAATACGCAGTGCGCACCAACAGGGAATCAATGGTACGGACTCTGTTGAGACATCGCGATGTTGTGCGTTGCAATTACCAACAGGATCTCGTAACCATTAATTGCCACGGTGCAAAAGTGGCAGAGTCTACCATCTGCTATTACCAGGACATTCTTTCCAGTCTCGGGTCGTATCCTCCCATCACCGGCGGAGAAGACTTCCCCACTACTATCTGGGGTGGGAGATGTGGTGCACATCCTGAATTGGAAGAGAGTCCATGTGAGCTGTCCAGTACGAGCTCAAGCAGTACTGGCGAAGACCTAGACGGCTCCGATTCTCCGACCGGGACAAGTCCAGATTATGTCACCTACGATTCCATGTCGTCAGAGTTTCCTGTGGCCATGTCCGAAGCATGGCTGAAATGGGCTTTTGGGGATGTCATCCAGTCAGGGCAAGACTCTGCACATTGACGGCGGACGGCAAGAGTGGATGAGCCCCAATAATGGGAAGTCTCCGGTTCGACAGACATACCTTCGGGAATACGAACTGGAATGGACATCACCACCAAAATACCTACCTCCAGGTCGGACTGTTGGTGATGAAAGACGAGTTTATCCAGGAGGAGCACACATTTCAGGGATGCAGAGGTGTAGGCAACCAACAGGAATGAGGATAAATATCTTTATCAATTTATGGAATCGAGTTCGACCTTGATCCCCCTACTTCCAAGAAAGCAGACAAAAAAATTAAAAAACTGCGTGGGTTAGCGTAACAGGATCGAACCTTCTATGAATATTGAACAACCTCCGTTCTCTGACGAACTGATCACCCAATAGACCCGGCAGACCTGGATTTTAGTTCAGCAGAAAATTAGGCGATCGCCCGGGCTATACATGATTGTCGTGTCCTAGCAGCCGGAGCCCCTGGGTTGCTTGCTTGCCTGCTTCGAAATTGGGAGTTATCGCGGCAGCTTTGTAAGCACGCATCTGCCAGCAGATCGATTGTGTCTGTCCCCGTCGGGTTGGAGAAAGACCCCTTTGCTCCCTCCGTGCTCTGTCGACAATAAGATAGTAACTACCGTATCTTACCTACCCGCTAGTGCCAATTGTCTTGACCATGATAACAGAGATGAGAGGGAAGTCACGTCTCGACGGAGCTCACAGTTGATCGTACGACGTGGAGGACTGAAGGGACCTGCCCTCGAAGGCTATTATTCATCTACCTTCCATCGCTGCTTCCGTGTCAGTTGGGAAAGCTGGGAAAGCTGGGATCATCACAACGGAACTTGAAACGGCAGGAGTCAGACATTTGTTCATTCTGGCTGGAGTGACTTCCACCTCATCTAGGTATAACAGCAACATTCCTAGGTACTTGCGAAATCTCGCTACCCGGGCATCAAGCAAGAGTCAAGTCACCCTGCATCAAGTTTTTTCGGGAATGACGCGGACGGACCCGAAACGTCACAATACCTATCCATGAAAGTTTTCTTTTCTAGATGTACAAATCAGTGCCTCCGTCGGTGTAAGCATTGCATTGACGATTATTCTCGATTCTCGAAGCCCTTTGCCGCCACTCAACCTTTCTGCAACAGAGCAACAGCTTAGGTATTCTTCCATTTTCAATATGTAAAGGTTGGTACAGACAACATTCTATCGACGTGCTTTGTATGAATGACCGTCCTTGACATCTGATACTGATGCCTCCGAAGCGGGATACCAAAGCGGACTATCCAGTGCCCCTGGTGCTCCTGGCGTTGGAGGAGTTGAGGGTATGATGTGAGGCGGAGGGGTGCTAGGTTGGTGACGAGTTTCTGCTTGTGTTGTACGGCTACGGCTATGACTGGGAGGGATGCTAGGTTGCATGTCCCTGTGGTGAGTTCCTGGTCCTGCTTGTGTTTGTGTTGTACCTCTACGGCTACGGCTACGACTACGGCTACGGTTATGGCTGGGAGGGGTACCTCGTCTGGTTAAAGGAGGTAAAGGAGTCCGTCTAATCTCTATTACTACTGGAAGAGAACTTGATGGGGAAGAAGAAGGAGTCCTTGGTCTACTAGTAGGTCTAGAGGTAGTCCTAGGTGGTACATGTTGACGAGGAGTGCGCTTCTCTGTTTGTGTCCGTTGTGTCCGTTGTGTCCGTTGTGCAGAAGCAGCTGCAGGAGGAGGAGGAGAACGCCAAATCGTTATATCTCGAGGCGTACCACCTCTCGCTAAAAGTAGTTTATGAGAAGAACTAGATTTGGAACTAACTTGCCGTGCAACAGGACGATGAGCCTTAATAGTGGATAGAGAAGAAAACTTAGCGACCGCCAGTTTCTCAGAAGTACCACCAGTTGTTGATGGATGCAAGCTCAAGTCAGGACCAGGAGAAGGAGTGCGTGGTATAGGGGTGCTTATTCGTTGGACGTGTTTGACCATACGTTCTGTTTCTCTTGCTCTTCTTGCTGCTCTTTCCTCACCCGTCCCCTCCTCCTCATCGTTCTCTTCCCCTTGTTCGTCCCCTTCCGAATTTTGGGAGGGATACAGCTCGCGACACCGAGTAATGATGTCGACTAATTGCTCGCAGTTTCTTCCTGCCATTAGTTGCTCAACCGTGTAATTCCCGTCACCTAAACCTTCTGGAGAACCAATCTCGATGTAGCATTTGGGAACGTGGAAGAGGCGCATGAGTTGGCGCTGGTCTGATTCTTTGCGGGACCAGAATTCTTGGATGATCATTATTGCTACTTCTGTTCGTTTGTTGGTGTTCATTAGTTGCATGAACATCAATAGTACTACCATTACGACCACCACTACCACTACCAAAACACGGTTTGGGTAATTCTCTTCCCAAAGACAGAACAAGGAAAGTATAGGACATGAACATCATATATCTACGGGACCTGGGGCACTTACTCTCAAGCCGTTCATCCACCAAACAATGCAGCAGATTCTTTCTATTGTCATCCCCATCCTGCCATTCTACCAACTGTAGCTGCCTCAGACCGGTCGCGGTGGCGGTGTTCTTCAACAGCTGCCGGACTTCCCAGTCGTATTTCGCAGAGCGAAGGCGGGCGCGCAGGGCTCTGAGGGCGGATATCTGCTCGGATGTGTAGTTGGGGGTGGCCATGATGGAGGTAGGTCACTTTGCCGTTGGCTAACCGTTCATCCTGAACAGCAGAGAGAAAGTAGGTGCAATACCAGGGGGAAGGGAAGGGAAGGGAAGGGAAGGGAGATTGGGATGATATAGCTGGTAAATGGGGAGTGTTGGTCACATTTTGTACCAAGTGTTACTTAGGTGTTGGCAAACGATGAGTTGACTGATGGCTGGTGACTCAAGATGGCAAACTGAGGGACCACAAGCTGGTCTGCGGTGTGGTGTGTGTGGTCGTAGGGTGAAACGGGAATGTTTCTTCAAGTAGCACAATCAGTAACCGACGCAGTGCCTGACTCTTCAGTGGGTGTTGTATCGCTGTCGACTAAGATCAGGGGTCAATCTGTCTCAACATTACTTCCTAGGTACATACAGTTAGAAACTCAGAAATGATATAAGCGAGGGTATGAAAACAGCAAACATGGAAGGGAACCAAGAAATAGCCAAACCACCATTTCTTTCCAAGCTGCCTTCCTCCTCCTCCTCCTCCTCTCCAAAATCCTCCAAAACCTCATCATTAATCCAGGAGAGAAAAGCAAAAATCATCTAAACGCCCAACAACTCCGTCATTACCAGTCATTAATTCATCAATATCATCTCTGGCCTCACTCTCCTCCTCTTTTCTTTCACGTCCTATTACCATCTCCATCTTCATTTTCTCCCTCATAACCACCCTCCATTAAGCAGTCAACTCCAAAACCCCCCACCTCCACCCCTGCAGGCCCTTAAAGTCCTCCTCACCCAACTCCCGTCCCCTCTCCACCTTGGCCGTCAACCTCTTCAGGCGTCTGCTCACCGTCTTCGCCGCTCTAAGGGATACCTCGTTGGTGAAGACGTACAACACGGCGAAAACCAGGAAACTCAAGCTGGCCAAACCGGGACGCCGAGCTTGCGTCAGAATCCGGTCGATCAACGACTTGGATTTTCGGAAGGCATATTCGGTTCTGTTATGGCCACGCTTGTGCTTGTGCTCGCGAGCATGTGCGCCCTTGTCGACGGTGGAGGGGCGGAAGAAGGATTTGACTAGGGGGATGAAGATTGCGCTGTTTCACAATTGTTAGTAAGTTTGGGCGGAAGAAGGTAAGATCGAGCGCAGCGAGGAAAAGAAAGAAAAAAAGGAGAAAAATACTCACAAAGCGCCACTCCACAAATACCGCCTCCACCGCGCCTTCTCCGCTCTCCTCACGATCTCCGCGACCCTTCCGCGCAACTCAATCAACTCATCGATCGCCGTGCTGGCCTGAAATCTCAGCTTCTCCTCAACCAGCGCCGCCTCCTTGCCGCTGTTGCCCGCCGCAATCTTGTAGGAAATCTGCCGCCGCTTGCGCTGCAACGCCATGTATTCCCGTAGAGAACACTCGGTTGCTTGTCGGTAGTCGCCCAGTTCCATTTGCGGTGGGTATCGTTCGGTGTCGCCATAGAGTAAGCCTTCTTCGAGTTCGGTGAGCTTGGCGGCGGTTTTGGTGGGCTTGGAAAGGGAGGATGAGGGCTTGGGGCCTAGGGCGAGACCGAGGGAGGGATGATGGCTAGGGCCGTGGCTGTGGCTGTTGCTGTGACCAAGAAGGAGGAGGAGGAGGAGGAGGAGATGAAGGAGGAGGAGGAGGAGGAGGAGAGAGCGCGGCGGGCCGGGCATCATTTCGATGATGGAGCCGTGGCGGCCCGGGCCGATGCTGGGACGGGACGGGTTGGACGGGTTGGTTGCCCCTGGGTTGGGGTTGCTAACAATGGTGTTGCCATTCGGTTTGCTGTTAGTGGGAACGCCATAGTCGCTGTTGCCGGTGCTGCTGTTGCGGGGAGGAGGCGGGCGGATCGGTTTGGTGTAACCTGGGCTTGGAGGACGCTCGGAGCCGTAACGGGGATTATTGGCGCCGGGACGAGTCCGCCCATCGCGATCATACCGGTCGCGATCATCCTTGTTGGAGGGTAGAGAGGCCGCGGGACCGGGTATGGATTCGACTACGTCGGGACGGCGGCTGGTACCACCGCCGATGGCGTTCAAAGAGCCACCGTGATCGCCGTTCATGCCGCCGTTGATGGGAGCAGGAGCGGGAGGTGGACGACGAGCGAAGGAAGGTGAGCGTGGGTCGAGGGGTTCATCCAGAGGTATTTTGATAGCCCCGCCCGTGGGAAAGCCGCCAGGCATGCTGCCCTTCTTGTCGGGGCCATTGGAGCTTGCGGGTGGGTTATAGTTGCCGTAGGAAGGGTTCCTAGATCCGGGCGGGGAGTGACCGGGAACATATGATGGCTTGGAAGTGGGAGATACTGGGGCTGGTGGAATTGTGCCTGGAGATGGGGAAGAAGCTCTTCGTTGTGGTTGCGGTTCACGATCACGGTCACGGTCACCGGGGCGGTAGGCTGGGTCGGATGGCCGTCTCTTTGGATCCGAGGTGCCATTGGGAGCGGGTCGGTACGGTAGATCCTTGAGGTTGGTCGGGGGAAGCTTGAAAGTGGTTTCGGAGCCATTGGGCTTCTGGATGGTAACAGTCTCGTTGTTGTCTGATCGGTATGGCAAGCTGGCATCGGACTGGCGCGGATTATAGATTTGGTCGCGATCACCGGGACGCCTTGTCGGCGGAGACATGGTCCGGGTTGCGGGAGGCGGTGGAGGTGGCATTGAATATGGTAGGTGTGGTGGTTTGTTTCACGGTGACAGGTGAGCTAGTGAGTGGATGAGATGAAAGATGAAAACAAGCGGTAAATGTCCAGATGAAAAATCACGAGATATTTTAATTCATGGACTGTTGAAAAGAAATTCAAAGAGCTGAACAAGCGCCGGAGAGGACGGGGGGAACATGAACGGACCTGGACTGACCCAGACTTTAGAATCAGTGGATGCGCTCTCGCGTTACAGTGACACTGAGGCCGGGAATTTCAGAGGCTGGGAGACGCTGGAAGGGATCCGGACGATGTGAGTGGCCAGTTGAGCTGGAACTTGCATGGCAAGTGGGGATTCATCTCGAAGCCTAACCGCAATTGGGTTTTCAGCTGCGACAGGAACCACAATTCGGGAGCTTTGACCACCTCTGATCATCTCTTTTGGAGCTCCGCTTGCCCCAGCTTGATCTGCCAGTGAGTGGTCTGAGCTTCTGGAGACCAGGATCCTCTTTTGACGACGTCGAGGTCCTCTTCCTCTCATGATCATCATTTCACCACACTTCTTCACAATGTTGTTGTGATTCTCTCAACGAGCTCCAGGGCCCTTTAGTTACACAGCCGACTCTGTGTTCTCTAGTTACCCAATCACAATGAGATGGCCACCACATGTTTTCGGCACTGCGGTTGTGCCACCGGCACTCGTTTGACCATCACACCCTCTCCGTGACACTCGCCAGTCATCAGTCGCACAACTCGTGGAGGACCTTCTAGACTAGTAGGATCGAGTTTTATGTCACGGTGGCGTACAATGGAGATATTTGACACACTTCACCATCGATATGAGCAACACGAACGTCGATAGAAAACCGGCAATGTTCAAGTTAACTACCTCAGCCATATACTAGGGTATATACCAGCAGCCGTCCTGTTCTAAAGTCCCACCCAGCCCTTCCCTTTGCCCTGCGAGTCATCCTGACCATAACCGAATGCAAATGCTATTCCTCATGACAGCTCTCAGCTCTTTGGAGCTTGAAAACCCCCTTCACTCGCCCAAGAAACGATAACGACGCTGCCTGTCGCGGTGACGGGCCTCGCGACGACGGACCATCTCCTCAGCCGATGCGTACATGCAGGGCGGGCTCCGGGGCCTATAATCTTCCCGTCTGATACAGACCATCTTGCCGCCTTGCTTGAAGACCTTGTAGTCATCCCAGTTCACGCCGACGGATTCGTTGTCACCGTTGTCTCCGTTGTCATGCTCTGTTGCGATGACGGAAACGATAGGCTCTGTGGATGGGTTGGCTTCGTGGGAAGTAGTGGGGGTGTCGGGGGAAGTTGGAGTGTCGAGGCTGGCAGGAGCGTTGGGGCTGGTAGGAGTGTCAAGGCTGGTAGGAGTCTCGGGGCTGGTAGGAGTGTCGAGGCTGGCGAGGAGTTTTGGGGCTGGTAGGAGTGTCAAGGCTGGTAGGAGTCTCGGGGCTGGTAGGAGTGTCGAGGCTGGTAGGAGTCTCGGGGCTATTACAAATGGTGGTGGTAGAGTCGGGAGTGACCTCAACCGGGACATCATCCTTCTTGAACTCACTCTCCATATCTTCGCCCGCGAAAGTCCTGTCGGTTTCGACTTGGACAAACTTCAGCTCGTCCAACACAACCTCAACCAAGTCCTTTATGGCGACTTGCATGTTCTTGTTAATGGCCATCTCGGCCAAGATGATGCGACCGATCTCTCCGATGGCTTCTCTGTGGCTCATCGGCTGTCCGAGCCAGGTAACAGGGGCATCTAGGTAGGCCTTCACGTTGTCGAGAAACCCGTTGTCGGAAGTCTTTGGAAGGGTTGTATCCTCCGAGACACTAGAGGTATGCTTCGCCGATACTTTGATGTTCGTGGCCTGCACCGCCTCCGCCTCCTCCAGTTGAGCATTAACCTCATCTCCCCGTTCCGTGATCGCCTCCTCCAGCTGAGCATCAACCTCATCTCCCCGTTCCGTGATCCATCGATCCGACAACACCTTGAACCAACGACCATCACTGGCGCAGCTCTTGAAAACGAGTCCCTCACCCTGTCTGCTGCTGGCTCTGGCGATCAGATCCTCATGAGACGAAGCAATACCTGTCACCTTGTGATACCCTAGAACCTCAACATGGCTCAGACCGTGGGTAGAGCAGAACTTTTGGACAGTACGAGGATCCCAGCGGTACTGGGTCTCGATGTTCCACACCGAATAAACGGTAAACGAGGGGGCAGAAGTTGGAGGCAGGCCGTAGTGGTTTCCGGAGATAGTGGGACCGACTACCTCCCCCTGGATAGCCAGGGCGCCACGATGTCCGTTTTTGTGGAGGTCCTCCAGGAGCGCTCCGATGTTGTTCTTGACAGCCACGGCCCAATATGGGCAGTCCTCGGAGAAAGGCAGGTCGACGTGCTTGCTGGTGACGCCAAATCTACCGCTCTCGAAAACGGAGTGGGCAACTGACTCGGCGCCGGGATGGGGTTCATGTAGCTGCTTGAAGTACTTCGACTGCTTCGGGACAAAGTAGCAGGTCATGCTTGTTCCGTCAACCTTGACCGACTCCTGGAAAACGATGTTCTTGTACTTCGGCTTCTTGAACAAGTTAGGGCAGTTCTGGACCCTTTCGATGTCCGTCTTTTGGATCCAGGACGGCTTTTTGACGATGGGAGCCGGAGGACTGTTCTTCTTGCTGGAGTTACCACCCTTTCCACCGTTGTGGATGCTGTTTTTGTTCTTCGACGGGCAGGGCACCGACGACAACAACGACCACGACGTCGGCAAATCGCCATACGGATCCCACTTAACCGCCCCCAACAAAGCCGAGTAGTCAACCAATTCCTGCTCCTCACCGTCACCTCCACCGTCACCGCCACAGCCACCGCCAAACCTCGCCAACCTCGCCTTCAACATCACATCATCATGCACCTCCGGAAAGTCCTTCAGATGAAAAACATGTCCCTGAGAAACGAACTGCCAACGCCGACACCTAGGAGGGCCAACAGTACGAGTACCGACACGAAACCACTTACGCCCGTCGTAAGTAATGGGGTTACCACCGACCTGCGCGAACAATTTGCTGTAGCGAGGCTGATCAGCAGGAAGGAGCGTGTCCGGCTCCAGGAAAATAACGCGGTGACCGGTCTCGAAGTTGACCTTGCTGGGCCTGGGCCGCTTGTTGACACCGACGGTCCAGCCGTCGATGGTGAGTTTGGTGTGATATTTGTTGGTGGCAGTGTCGATGGCGCTGATGCGGCGGACTGTTACCAGCTTACGGCTGTGGACGTGGGTTGGCTTGGGAGGGGAAGTGAGCTCGGGCTCGGGTTCGGGTTCGGGTTCGGGCTCGGGGGTGAGAGTGGGTGTGGGAGGGCCATGGTTCTGGTTGTCCTTTTCAGCGACATCGGTCGCCTTGTCCTTGTCTTTTCTGTTCTTCTTGGCGATGCCGATATGAATAATCTTGACCTCAAAGTCGGGGTTGTCGTCAACGGTGGTAGGGCTGCCGGCAGCAGGATCTGGAGAAGAAGGAGGAGGAGTGGGGAGACAATGACCAGAGGTCATGTTGGTCGACCTAATGACCTCGGGGGTGGTAGGAGGAGTAGCAAGAGGAGTAATGGGAATGGGAGTGGGAGTACAGGTGTTATTGTCGGTGATCCCTGACTCCTCCATGTCCTTGATGATTTCCGACAGGAAAGCCTTTGAGGCCGCTAGTTTCGCGGCGGGAATGATGGTTGACGGCATGTTTGTTGGCCGTTTGATGATAATTCGAACGTTTTCGATGAGTTTTGGATGAAGATTTGATGGTATATCTGATACTTTGTCGGGATTGGAGGAAGGAGTGGAGGAAAAAGTTGCCGGAGTAAGGAAGATTGATAGGTATGTGGTATGTGGTGTTTTCCACTTGTTAGTGTTGCAAGGTTGGTTGATGTTGAACGTTCGTTGATGATTTTGTCGGGATGTTATGTCAAGGACAATCTGAGAATAATTGAGCGTGTCGAAGCCGTGGGTGTTGCTGTTGCTGATAGTGAGTTTCTGACGCTGATGATGTTAGCAAATATGCCCTGGATATGGATGAGATCCCTGGTTTTTGTTGTTATTGTTGCAATGGAAGTGAGGATATTGGTTGGAGGTAGCCAGATACCAAGCAAAGACAAGCGTAAGCTGCTGGTTTTGTGGAAGTCGACTGGAAAAACAAGAGGAAATCTGGTGAGATCGAGGAAGAGAACCTTGAGTTCGCGAAGAAGGAGAGAGGATCTGCGCCTACGCCCCGCTGAAGCTGGCCGGCCAGCTGGAGAGGACGAGTCCAAAAAGTGAAGGCTAGAGTAGGACGACTCGCTGACGTTTGGAGTTCCACTCACTTACTGCGCTGTGGGTGATGGGGCATGGTGAGGTTGAAGATATAAAAAGGCAGGAAGATAGGTAAAGGAGCAGGAGAGAGAGAAGAAGAAGATATACCTCTCGGCTACGTAGCAGAAGCCAAGTGCTTGATTGCTTGTTCGTGGAAGGAAAGGGAGGCAGGAGTGGATCGTTCAAGGGAAAAAGAATGCGATTAAATACCTGACAGAGGAAGATCTTCAACTCCCCACCCAAAAACTTGGAGGCGAAGGAAGAGATGGAAGCCCACAGCCGCTTGCGTGTTGCGGTGAGAACTATCACCAACGAGTGACTAACTTGGAGGAGTGGTATCTCGGCAGATAGTTCACTGGGTAAGGTAAGATCCCGCTTGGCCAACTTGGAAGGTATTGAGAATTGGGATGAGATGGAACAACAGACGGGAGCAAACAACGTCGTGAACCCTTCAATTGGGTTTGACCGCAGTTGGGAGTGCTGGAGGGTGATACGGCCTCCTCCCGGATTTCTCCAGACTTCTTACTGGCCAATGGCTGGAATTTTTGAGATGAAATCGAGGCCAACCTGGAGTCTTGGACGGCTGGGAAGAGTGCTACGGGAGTTCAATACGATTGGGAATGCTCACGGGTGATGGGAAATTCTCTCAAGTGAGTTTTCCTCGTTGCCACTTGGCCGGGGATTGGGATAAAAGCGTGGTCGACTTCGACACCCTCGTCTAACCCGACTGCCCCCGCTATCTAGGACGAATGTCTCGGAGTCGAAAAGGCAGCCCAGTGTCCGTAGTAAGTCCGTGTACTTCGACTTGACGTGAAAACACCCTCCCACATGTTACGATGTGCCCCCACCAGAAGGTCTATGGAAAGTGGAAGCCAGTTGGCGTTGATTTTGATGCGTGGGTAATTGATTGTTACAGGCGAGGTCTTCGAACAGGCATCCTCGGAGCGAAGGGGTAGTATCGCACTTGGGGCCAGGCTGGCTCCCATTCACACCTAACTGAACTACAGAGGTGTATCTGGTGAAGTGTGTTGAGAAGGGCTGGATAAGGTAGTAATCAGAAGGCAAATGATAATGAGTTACAAAAAGAGCGGAACACATAAAATGACTGGAGTTCAGGGTGAGAGACCAATGTCAAAGTCGACGGGCGTATCGGGTGCTAACATTCTAATGCCAGTAGTAGCTGAGTAAGTCCCAAGTGCTGAAGGCGGGAGTGGACTATCAAAACAATTTTTATCGCCGCTTAGTGGTACTGAAGATGCGCTGGAGGGACAGACAAATATGAGCAGAGAAGGGGATAACGCATCGTCTCCCGTCATTTTTGCAAGAGATGAGTACCTTACCTATCAAAACGTGAGAACTGAAGCTGAGAAAGGAAAAGAAAAAGGCTCTTACCTTGAGTTGATCAATGAGTGACGAAAGTAAAAAGAGAAAATGGGGGTGAAGAAATTCTTTCCCCGACGAGAAATACTCCATTTTATCCTGGAGAAGGGGAGAAACCACAGCCGTGTTGTGCCTATTCAGAACCCAAAAACAATAGTACCTAGTGAGTACCTCTAGGCAGGATAGGTATGCATGTGAGAATACAATGAAACGGGCTTTTATCCGAAGTCCTTCGGCGTCTGTGCATCGCATCTATCGAGGTACTCGGCATCTCTATTGTGCATTTTACTCTTCTATACAACTGATTGTTGCTTGGCAACAGTGATTGACCCCGGGAGATTGGTAAGAGACTGATTGCTGAAACTTATCAATTGACCTTCAATAAGAACAATAAATGACTAGGTAGTGAAGACATTGTAATCCACAATAGAACACTCGCTTAGGGGAAGCGGTACACGCTCTTTCTGCTCTGATTTTGACCTGACCGCGGGTATTCAAAGTCAATGTACTGGGAATTCCAATTACTCGAGCGGCCATTTGTTTTGTCGATGATGCTTGAACACCCGGGGGCTTGACCAAGTGATCATAATGCGACTCGCAAAGTGAGTGCAAGGAATCTCTTCATTACCACCGTTTCAACGAGCCGCTTACATTGCTTCCTGCACATGACGCCCGGCCAAGCCAGCCCGCTGAAGTTTTGACGCAAGTTGACCTCCAGCTTAAAATCCATCCGCGTCTCCATCATCGTCCGTCCTCCAGGCACGATCCCTTCAACATATCCACCTCGAAGTCAACCTGTTGCCCGAAACAGAACCTACTAGGTGAAAGAGCAACGCCAGGCTCGACAATAAGGTGGAAACGTGGAACGAAGGAGACGAGTTCATGGCAGAAGGCATACTAAACTCCATACTCGAAAATGGAAAGATCAAGTATCTTATTAAATGGGAAGGCTACGGCCACGAAAGCAACACATGGGAACCCCCAGAATACCTCCTCAACTTCAAGAAAGAGATTGAGGATTGGCACCGTCAGAACCCTGACTGACCGAAACCGCCAGCTGTTCCAGAGAGCCAGGAGACATCGCATTCAGCTCCTGCACCCAGTCGGGCTCACCGGAACCCTCAACGACGAAGACGTCGCCATTAGACAGCTCGCTCCCACTATTCATCTCCTCCGCAAGATCCGCCATCCCGCGATCAAAATACTCCTTCTGTCGACGCAACGAATGTCTTTTCTGCTCGTGAGTACGGATCAGACGGTTATGAAGAACCGCAATCTCCCGCATCAAGTTTTCCTCCTCCTCCTCCAATTGACGAGATTTCTCTACCTCCTTGTCAACTAAATCAACAAGTCAGCATCACCATAGGCACTGTGAACCACGGAAATCACTCACAACGAGAGTCCGGATCAACGGACACATCGCAAGCGACCTTGCGACGAATGCACTCGCTGCACGACAGCGATTTCGAGCGATCAACGATGCAAGATCGGTTGTGTTGATGACAGCTGGAACACGGCATTATAGAAGCTCAACCAAGCTGTTCGATATGACGAGCGAGTCCATTAATGGACACCTTCTTCTGGGAAGAACGAGACGACGGGATTCTAGAGGCAGGCATGATGGATGGATGATGGAAAGAAAGGAAGAACTCACCGGAATCAACAGGGTAACACAGAAAGCAGGATCAGGAAAGGGAGAAGCGCTGGGGCACGACAGGCAATAAACCAGCGACCAACAGAAGCTGTTGGCACCCAAGCAACGGAAAATGGGCAAGTGTTATTATAGAATTACATCGTGGCGTTGAGGACAAAGCCACAGAAGAGGGGAATCGTGTTACGATCCAATCAGCGGACTTAGATAGATTGACCAATTAGATAGGACCCGGTCCCGGTGTCCCGAGTTTACGGGACCACGGGACAAGACTGAAGACCAGTATATAAGAAGGCCTCCCGGCCTTTGTTATTAGGGTTCTTCAGCAAGCAATAGCTATCACAATTTATCAGTACCTTTCGGCTACTACTCTGTTACTCTATTGTCCCAGCGGTAATTGTGACAAGGGCAGAGTTCTGGGCTTGGAACAGTAGTTCAATTCAGCTAATAAACTACTTTGGTCTCGAAAGCCTTGTTGAATCCTTTGAAGCCTTTCCATCCAGGCTGGGCTTCAAGGCCTTCTTATGCCAAAGAGGTTTGGTGCGTACTAAGGTACGTACCAAGCCTTGTTGCTTGAGGCCTCAGGGTATCTATATAGCGATCTTCATACATGCGGATCTTCCTGAGTGCGCTTCAACCATTCTACTTCCTTCTTCTGGCGCCGATCCTTGTTCGGTCGCTCTGATCCTTGCTTGGTTGCTGTGATCGCTTCTGTGATGACTGGGGATTGCCTCATCTCGCTTACTAGCGTCGTCGGCAGTTTGATGGTTGACTCGCTAGCCTGAAGGCGTCTAGAGGGGCTTGGGTAAGCAATGCTGGTAGCTGAGAGTCTGGCCAAAGTGAGGTTGAGCCTCGCGGCCTGCGGCCGCCGGACATTCATGAGGCTCATTCCAAGCGTTTGAGACTCTGCTGAGCCTTGCGATCCTAACCCCTGGACTGTGGGCAATGTCCGTGTGACAATAATACTCCTGTGCTTGTAACGGTTCGTCACATTGGGTTTCGACCAACCCGTTATTTTACGTCCGCGACAACTACAATCGCAACCACAGCAACCGCCTCCGTCGAAAAGTTTGCAGTTCCAAGAACAATTCTTCCAGCTACCACGACCGTTACGGGCGGAGGACACGGAGTTCCTTTTTGTTGGCCCATGTTTCGTCTACGGTATTGACGACGCGAATGGTCTGTTAGGCCCGCTACCAGAGCCATGGCGTGTCCAGGTGTTTGCCGATAAACTTTTCGTTTCGGGCGTTTATAAGTTCTTCAACCCTGATACCGATGTCCTGTCCGACGACGATCCTAGGCTGCCACCTCTCGATGGGGATAAATGGGAGAGGGTACCGAGGGGAAACAGAACTGGCGATGATCCCGTGATCTTCCAGCGTTTCAGGAACAAGTTGACTGGGGAAGTGATCAACTATAACCCCAGAATGGACCGTGATGCTCTGGAAGCCCGAGGGGTTCCCATCCGGGATTTCAACCTGGTTTAGTGGGCAGGACACACTACACAGCGCCAAAATGGCGAGGCGAGGGGGAATCTCACCTGCCACTGACATTCAGGACGGTAGAGGTAAGTATACATCGTTCTGTCAAAAATAGGTGACTGAGGCGAATTTACGTTAAGGACGAAGCACGAAATCTGTTTATTACCTTTTCATTCATTTCCTTGTATGTTTCTAGGTGTCCTCTGGTTTCATCTTCTTCATTCGATTTTCACTTCCTTATCTCCTTACAGTACACCAAAGGTCAGACGCAACAGCATGTAATTTCCCATTCTCTACTCCTATGTAGCAAGCAACTCAATTTCGTTACACATACAGATACCTACGCCCGCCCGACACATCAAGACTACCTACCTATACAACGGCCTTCAAGTTGGCAACAAGGACTTGGTGGATGACTTCCATCACACTGGAACTCGCTATCAACACACAGAATAACCGCATTTCCTCTTCCAACAAGTAAACACCCACAACTAACAGTCAAGCGGTAACACTTCAACCAATATACCTAAAATAAAATAAAAAGCACCCAAGTCCCAACCGAGAAGCAAAAGTCTAGATCAGTACATCTACAAAAAGTTGTAGACAACGATTAACCTACTGAACACCAGTACCCCAAACCCCAGACACTTGAACTTCAAAGCTCAACCCCCACCGCCACCACCACATTCACCACATTCACCACATTCACCACATTCACCACATTCACCACATTCATCACATTCACCACATTCACCACACTCACCACATTCACCACATTCACCACACCCACTCATACAACGAAACTGTCCCTCAGAGCATCCATGTTTTTCTGCAATCAATCATCAGCAACACGACACGGTGGCTGCAAGCTCCAAATCGCCAAAGACTTGCTCTCAATACATGTCATCGCTACCTACCTAAGGTACCTAGTCAAAACCAACTTCAGCCTGGAGTTACAATGGGCCCTGTACTGGCCCGGGCTTTGCCTGCCTTCATGTACCGTTCAACGCTCCCAATCCAGCCTCACAGTCTAGATGCTTTTGTATTCCGCCTTACCGGAGTTCTCTTTCGTGAACGGCAAGCCTGCCTCCATCCAATCCACTGTGCGACGCTTCCTCGGCTTGGTGACAATACCACCGCGATGGCTGACTCCAGAGATTAGACTAGACCTTGAGAACTTCACAAAAAGCAATGAGGTAGAAGTCGACCGCCAATCATATACAATGCCTGGGTATCTAGTGTTATCTAATGAGTAGTTCTCAGAGAGGGACATGGATAAGGTAAGCGAGGAGGTTATGCGGTTATCTACAATCATATCAATCCAACTGACATGTCTCGAAAGCAACCGGAAGTACCTCAGCCAGCCGGAAGTAGATGGTTCAGAGGGCAGCACAGCCCAGGAATGCACATAGGTGGTGTAGAGATGATCTACTCGACCAGGCCAGTCCCAAGTCGTGCGGAGGAACCAGAAGAATCCCAATGGAGGTATCGACGTCCTAATTCTCAATCCCAGTCAGTGTCCACCAATGAATGCTGCCTGTCGGTTGGAACTTGCGCACGCCAGCAGCACGGCCATTAGTGATGCCAGCCACTTTTGGCCAGCATGCCGGCGCAACCAACGAGGAGGGAGGGGTTTGATAAAAATACCTACATCTGGAGAGTGTCTAATGTGTTGGCTAGTGCATATCTGGTGAGTACCTTGAATAAAATACATTGACGGGTGCAGAGGAAAAGAAAAAAAGATTAAAAGAGAAAAAGACCTTCAAGTGACGTGGGGCTTCAAACATTACTGGGAATCTGGTCCCTCTCGTCCTATGTCATTAGGCACTGAGGCTCGGAGTGGTTCTTGTCGACGGTGAACGGCAGGTAGAGTACCATTTGCTATGGGGGGATGGAGGAGAGAACGATGCGGACAGCAGAGAATACCCCAAGCACGATTAATTTGCACCGGTCCAAAGGATTATTGGAAGGGCAGGAGGGGAACCGATGCTATGAGTGACGTTAAGGCTGATATGGGACGACAAACTCCCGAGGGAATCCATAGGATCGAATGAATGGACTTTCATCCGTTCTCGAACTCCTCTCATCATATTCTCAACCATTTCTGGTGTACCAATTTGGTCCTATACCAACCTCCTTACCCCTTCCACTCTCGACTTCTCCCTTTGACACCTCTCTTCTCAACCTCCCCTACCACTTCCGCCGCGTCTGTGCTCTGTCTAAGTGCTGGAAGCATCATGGGCGTTGAGGCGAGCAGCACGACGACAACGACTACTATACGCCCATGAAGGCTAGTACGTCAGCGCAACCGATGAGAGAGGGGAACATCAAAATGATCTTTGATGGAATTAGTTACAGAAATTTGCTGCTGGGTGGAGAGGAAAGGAAACACATAGAGAGGACCGTCCAGTGCTGGACCGGGGCGGCAATTAGGTACCCAGAAGAATGGAATCTCCTGTTCGAAAGCTGGACATTTAGTCATTTCGCAAAGCCACCAACATCCTGGATAATACCATAAACATCGGCAATGCATCTTGAGAGAGCGACCCGTCAAGTCAAGTACAACAAGTCACGCCGAGAACCGATCTGTACGGGACCAAAGCTGGAGGAAGGTGAAGATCGGCTTGTTGACTATCAAGGAGAGTCCGAATTCTGCGATCTCCCTCAGTGGGGTTCTGCACTCCCTGTTCTCGTGTCGGTTGTACCTTCAGAACGCCCCATGGAGGAAGACAATGCCACCGAAATCGACGAAGATGAGTACGTCGAGGCGCCTGAGAACCCGTCACCAGCTCCTCAAAACACCTGAGCAGCAGGTCAGCTCCGTGCAGACGTAAGAAAGAGAAGAATGAAGAAAGAATCAGCACCTTTTCTTGCACAGACAGGTTCATGATCAACCATTTCGTTCTCCCTCAGAAGCGGAAAGCAGATCCGCTCCTGCTTTGGTCTCAACACAGCACCACCGACCTCCTTCTCACAACACCACCCACTCTGACCTCTCTTCTGGCATCGCAGCTGCCGACTCTCTCTCTCTCTCTCTCTCTCTCTGAATGGTTGCCATGGCATACGCTCTCTCTCTCTCTCTCTCTCTTCCCCTTTTTTCTCGCGGTCTCTCTCTCTCTCTCTCTCTCGCTGCCGCAAACACCAGCCAGCATACTCAGTGGCACTCCTACGCCATTTATTAGGTACCTAGTAGGTAATTCCAAGGCCCAGTCTCATAGACCAAGTACTACTCTCTCCGGGAGAAAGATTGCAAGGACCGCCAGAAGAAACCAGTCTCTGCGTACCTACCTAGGTAGGTATGTTTTTGCATCCCGTCCCTTGCCTGACCGAATACAATTCTCGAGAACCTGCCTGGCCCGACCCCGGCCCCTAAGATACCTAGGTAAGGTAGGTAACGACAAGGCCCTGAGCTGCCTTCCGGGCTGCCGGGCTGATAAGATATGATACGCACCACCCACAAGAAAAGTACCTGAGCTTGGTAGGTACCTTCGTCACAGCCGGTGGGACGGGACAGCAGAGTTGGCGAGCATCAATCGCACGGCGCAACGAGCATCTGCGACATTGCTTGCCAACATCGGCTAAGGATTATGGGATCATTACATCATGACTGCTTTTGCCAGCATCTTACAAATGGTGCCCAATAATCTGGTCTGGGCCCCTGGGCTGTTAGTTATAACTGTTTCGACGCCGATTCTGTACTTGTTCGATGTTTGGCCCCAGATTGACACCTGGGATTCTCATTGAGAATAGAGGGAGAGCGCCGGCATGCCGTGCGTCGGGAGGTATACTGGGATACTTATGTCGTCTGGGTCGAATTCCTCGATTAACCGTAATGGTCAATGCTGGATAGTGGATTCCGTGTATGTCTGAAGCTCTCGATGCCGGTGAGGTCCTTTTCGGACCGAGACCAGCCAAATGCTACCGGGGAATTGAGAGGATGGATGGATCTTCTTACAGAGCTGAGAAACAAGGCAGGAATGGAAGAGATGGAAAATATATCATCCCGGCGGGTAGCTTGAGGGGTCTTCTTCTCTTCCCTTCACTTCAGTTCTTCTTCACCTACCTGTACTTGCCCGGGGAGTCATCGTATTAATATCGGTACAATTCTATGGTCATTTCTCATTATTCATTGCTAATAATACATGGGTACTGGTAAATTCGACAAATAAAAGCCACGTTAAAATGCCAGAAGTTCTGTCAGGAACTGCTGTTTAAGATATCCGCAAAACATTATGTACGCATATAATAAAATTTTCTTCCCCATACCCTTTCTTACCTGTCCTCTGTAAATGTCAGTAAGCAGCTTGGTGACAACCTGACGTCCTTCCATCGTGATGTCGAACCCTCAATGTCCAGAAGGCATTCGGCTGATGAAGAAGTTCTAGCCAATAACATACCTCGTATAGTCAGTATACACGCTGATAACACCCCGAAACTAAAGTACTCTTCCAAAACGATCTCCGTCCATCTCTTCAGGGACAAGTCACGTCTTGGTCAAAGATTCTGGAAGGAGGCCGCGAGTGTCCAGACTCATCTCGGGCGGCCTTTTTGGCCAGATCTTGCGCATATTTGGATTTATTCCGGAGAATGGGTCCGTATATATACGTCAGGTAGACCGCCGCGACGAGAAGAAGGGAGATGGCGAACAGGATGGTATTGGCAATCTCCAGGTGCCTCTTCCCGCCAATGTTGCTAACAAACGGCGTTGCCGGCACCGTTAGGACACCGGCAAGGAAGTCGCGCGCCCATCCGTTGCCTCCGGTAGCAGAGGCTGAGTAGGGACCGTAGGCGCAGATCATATACTGTTGAATGTTTGATTAGCTTGTGTATGCTTGGCGCGAAGGGGAGAAGGTACTCACATCAATGGTCGCCATGTAGATGGAATAGTTTGCAATGCCAATGATCATGGAGCCAATCATGGTTCCAATCCAGTGGATGGGTGGCCCGCTACAAGTCCAGGCAAAGATGATCAGGCCAATGGGCAAGCATGGCGCAGTCCAGAGAAGCCACCATAGTCGAGACTCGTACTGCGCATGCTCATCATGGGGCTTAAGATCGCGTGCCCTCTTGTTGCGCTTAAAAGCTGGTAGGAAAGACAGCCAGGCGATCAAGTACCCCAAGCCAATGGGGATGAAAGCGAGGCCAAGCTGGATCTTGGAGAAGCCCCATTGATTGTAGACCAGAACCAAGGACTGGATCTGCATGAAGATGAGGGCATCGGAGAATCCTGACAGTAGCGAGAGAGTGAGGACAATCGGCTCTGTAACAAACATTTTAAATGGACGAAGCCAGGTGCGCGTCAACTCCTTCCAGCTGAGACGCTGCAGGATGGGGTGAAGCTCATTGGGGCCGTAGAGACTGGGCGCAATGCCTGACTCTCTGCGCCTCTTGGCTATTCTGTCCAGCAGGATACTAGTCCTTGTCTCTGGAACACACAATAGGTGAAGAAGCTGAACAAAGCCGCCAAAGATCAACTGGATCCAGATGCACCATCTCCAGTCCAGATACGTCTCGACGAAGCCGCCAATGATGGGGCCTAGGACTGATCCGCCGACCGAGGAGAAGACGATGTAGGAGACGGCAACCTGCTGGTGAGCAGGCTCGTACATGTCGGCAATCATGCCGAGAGTGACACTGCCACCAGCGCATGACAGTCCGCCTAGGGCGCGGCCGACGAGGATGGTTGCGAAATTGGGAGCGAGGGCGACTGGGATGGCCCAAATGTTGACCAGAAAGAGCGAAGCCTGCAGGACCTTTTTGCGACCAAGCTCTTCGGACCACGGCGCCCAAAGCTCGCACCCAAAGGCATAGGTGATGAGGAAAATAGCTGCGCCCCAGCGGGCCGTCTGAAGGCTAATGCCAAACTCTTCCGAGATGCCGGCAAGACCGTTCGAGTACAGCGACGTGTTGAAGTTCATGGATGTCTGGACGAGGAAGATGACGGTGAGGATCATCCATTTCGTGGACGGCGAGTAACTGTACGGGAGTTCGTCGTAGGCATCCTTCTTTTTCAGTTCGATCTTAACTCCCAGACATGCTCCCTCATGGACTTTTGCATCACCACGGGAATTTCTGTTGGAAATGGAGTCTGAAGGGTGTAATGTATCTGCATCTTCTCCCAGTTGTGAACAGATATCACCCTTTTCCTTATCCAATTCATTGGGCGGTGGTCGGTCATGGAGGGCGTGCATGACGTAATTTTATAACTTTCTGCTGGGTCGAGCTCAGGGTCTTTGAAGGGTCTGGAAAACCGAAGTGGTCTTCTGTCGGTGCGTGTCAAGGAGCGTCGAGGAAGAAGTCGAGATGACAGGCGCCGACTGACAAAGGGACAGCTCGTATGCGAGTAACTATATACAGCATAGGGCAGAACGCTCCACGGGATTCTAGCATCAGCTGCGCTTCAAAGTCGGCTTGGCGTGGAGGATTGTAAACATATGACGGTGTCACCATGCGAGTACTGAGTCGTGTTGTAGAGATGATGGTATAAGGGGGGCGAACAGCTATTGTTTGGGTCTGGGATAGCCTATATCAATGTTACAAGGATGAGGAAGAAATAGAGGAGGAAGAGGCGGACGAGCAGACCAAGTTCACCGCGATATGGGCGAGTTTAAAATAAGGGGGAGTAAACATCGTGGAAGCTCGTGAAGCTGCTGGTTTTGACCGTGTGACTTTTTTTTGCTCTAAGCTGCATCTTGCTAGTAGGTAGGCGCATGGAGAAGTATAAAGACATGACGCTCGACGACCGGAGATAAATCACCGAGGTAACTAGCAGCTCACGGGTTCTGTTTCTGGGGTTGAGAAGGACGTTCGGAGTTGTGAAGTTGGAGAGTTTGGAGAAATGGTGGAGAGAACTGGGTTGATAAAGGGACCTAGTCCCTTGCTCGGCAGCTATGTACCCCGGAGCTTTTACAGTTAGAGGCACATCGGTCATATGGGTGAAATCTGGGGTACAGGCCGGACCATGCTAACAGAGCGGACTGTACGGTACTTGGCCAGGTTCAACTGGTGCGTGCACTTCTTCCTCTCATCTCACTTTTCCTCGTCTTTTCTCTCAAGTCAAAAATACCCCAAGTCCGCCAATTGATTTGGACCTGCTTCACCTCAACTCCAATCATTGAGGGTCCATTATTCCTCCGTCAACCACCACCTTGACCCTTGAAGGTGTTGTTTTTATTGTGATGCAATCATCCGATCCCGGTCGGCACACGGCGTTTACATTGGCCGATGTGGTCGTACACCCGGGATGCATCGCCAATGTGGAAGAAACTGGAACACGGCACGACGGGATGCTTCCCTCTGTTGTTGGATGCTGCCGGGCGCCCGTCGGAACCGAGTAAGCACAAAACACCCCATAAAGGCTCACAGCTATTTGTCGCTACCACTACGGCCTAGGTAACACCATTGCGGTTTCTGATCCACACAGCTGACGGTGATCGTCTCCGCCCTCGCGTGTTGTCAGCTCAACTTTTATTTCTCTGTTGGTCGACGTTTCCAGGGCAAGTGACACAACGGGCATCCAATGTTTACCCTTTCACAGCTGCCGTCCCTATCAGACGGGATGGCAACCCCCTTGTCCTATCCCTTCGGCTCAGGCAGGTCCGGGTCAAGACATTCACTTGGCTTTCAGAATGCCTGGCTGCTTTAAGAATGCGCCCCTCCTGGACTTCCCCAGGGCAAGGTCCGAAATGCCGTGAACCTTAGTCCTTGTGAACCCTTACATCCCGCATTTAGACCTACATCATAGCCCTATTTACGACGCAGAAGGAGCTGCTGGTCTCGCCCGATTTTCCGAAGCTTCAAGCAAGCCATCACACCCAGACGCACCTCTCCGCGCCGCGCGCCACTCCTGCTTTGACTACGGCTTATTAAAGGACGACCGCATCCCCCCGCTCGCGCGCCTGTGTTCAACATGCCTCCCTACTACAGCCCACTCAAATTCAACCCGAAGAACTTCCTCCGTCCTCTCACCCTCAGGGCTAGTGTAATGAGTACTCAAGTTGCTGTCGCGGCTGGTGTTGCGGGCCTGGGAATCTACGCTTTCTACCTGAGACGGAACGCAAGCGGAAGCGCAACCGGAGCTGCCCTCGCAACCAACATGGACGCCAAAGATCTCAAGCCGGGCAAGCTGCCTCTGTCAGGCTTTGGCTTCCACAGTTTGCGCCTACACAGCACCGAGCTCGTCAACCACAACACAAAGAAGCTACGCTTTGAGCTGCCTGACTCCTCTCAGCCCAGTGGTATGGGCCTCACCTCCGCTCTTCTGACCATCTCCTTCCCCAAGGGACGGTGGCTTCCGGTTCTCCGTCCCTACACTCCCACAAACGACCTGAGTAAGTCTATTAGTACCCCTTACGTTTTTCCCGTCAACCCACTAGCTAACACTCACCACTAGACGAGCCCGGCTACGTCGAGCTCATGGTCAAACTCTACCCCGGCGGCAAGCAAAGCACTCACCTGCACTCCCTCCAACCCGGCGACACCCTCACCGTGGCTCCCATTCCCGAGATGAAGTGGACACCCAACAAGCACCCGCACGTGGCCATGATCGCCGGCGGCGCCGGCATCACCCCCATGTACCAGCTCATCCGGGGAATCCTGACCAACCCGGCCGACAACACCCGCATCACGCTGATCTGGGGCGTCAACACGGACGAGGACATCTTCCTACGCGACCAGCTTGATAAGCTCAAGGAGAGTTACCCTGGCCGCTTGAAGACTGTTTACGTCGTTTCTCAGCCTGGTGCGCAGTCCCCGTATCAGAAGGGGTACGTGACTAGGCAGGTGCTGGAGCAGGTCGGGCTCGGCGGTGAGGCGGCGAAGGCGAGCAACGGGACAAAGGTGCTGCTTTGTGGACCGCCGGCTATGGAGAAGGCGTTGAAGGGAACGAAGGGGTGGGT